CCCCCAACGAGCTGTCAAGCACGAAAATGGCCACCAGGAACTTCGGCACAACCCAAAACCTGAGTCGGCAAAGCATGGCTCCGGGGTCAGGCAGCTCCGCGAAAAACAGACAATTGGTGAGCACCGCGCCTGACGGGACTGTACACCATCGGCACGGTGCCCGTAGCTGACACGGTTGGGGACCAGGCACAGCTCCAGTCGCAGCTTGCCCAGTTATCGACCAATTTATCGGATACTGAGAATCTGCTGCGCATGACGAGCGTGCAGGCCGAGGCGATGAGGGGCTTGGGGAGCTGGCACGGAGGGCTGTGAGTGGTACCACGCGGGCGAGCATGAATCGCATGGTGTGCTGATTTTGCTTTCAGGTTCATGGCTGCTAGTAAGGTTCTTGGGGAGGAAAGTGTGAAGGAAACGAGTTGACGGCTTGATGAGTCATGATGATGATGGTTATAGGTCATGGGAGCGCAGCGCTTTCAATGTTACTATTCTTTGCTCGTTGTACGCCGCATGGGCTTGGGTTCCTGTTTGTCCTGCGCGGTGTGATGCGGCCATTCTCCATGAGCGCCTCACGTTTCCGTGTTGGGATAGCAGAGCGCCAGTATGGTACAAGCAGCAGATGAAAAGGACTGCCGTCACGACCTTTCCCACGGCTGTGACGATATCCTCATCTGCCTTGACATAGATCCTAGGCCCCAGAGCTCAAGTGGCTTCTTCTCCTTCTGGGGCCACTCCGCCTTGTTCAGCGTCAACGACCTTCTGCTCCCCTGAACGGAGTGCCTTTCGCCTCTGCCGTGGTGCGTCGACGGGATACCTCTTTGAATTCCCACACGTCTTGCAAGCAATGACGAGAACATCGGCCCAGGGCTTGCGACCCCCTCTGCTGGGGTTCTCGATCGACGAATGGGACGTCTGTCCCTCCACCAGCAGCGTGTCGCAGAACTTGCAGATTGTCCTTTTAAGCGCTGGACTTTGTCGAATTTGTGCCTTCAAAGAAACGGCCCTCATGTCGGCGACTGCCTGGCGGGACACGTTGATGATGGCTTTGTGTTGCTTGTCGGTCTTTGTCGAAGCTCGGACCGGTGCGTCTGCCGTGGATGGACCATCTTGAACTGCGTTGGCGCAGCTCGTCAAATATTTCGCCGCCTGGTAGAGGTAGGACGCTCGAGAATAAATGATTCTATTCTGGACCCCTGCGGCCACTTTTGTCTTCGCTTTTGTCTTGGCCATTGTCGTATGGGCGGGCAGATGCTCCATGGTCGGCGTCCATAGGTCACAACTCGCACAGTGAGCCGGAGGCAGTCATCACGTGATTTCTATGCACAGACCAGTTCGCCTGCATGGCAGCAGAGCGACGAGCCACTCTTCTCTCCCTCGTCAGCCGCCTGGAGAGCCTTTCGAAACCTTTCCTTGTCAACACCGCCCGGAATTGGGACCTTTAATCTCGGTCATCTACCTCGTCTTTGCGACAAGTTCTTGTCTTCACTTCTATACTGTCAAGTCATAGACATCTAGAGGTCCTTTTCCCAACAGCCGGCCCGCGCAACGGCGTTCTGTTACTTTTTGCGCACAAGACCTGATCTCACCAGCAGACGGCTACAGCTCTCGAGGCTTCACACGCGCTCTCACACCACCCACAACACATCCGTCAGCATGTCTCACGAGGAGGATCTCATCGACTACTCTGATGAGGAAATCGGCGCCAACGAGACCGCCGCCGCCGGCACCAACGGCAAGAAGGGCGAACTCGCTGCGTCTACCGATGTCGACAAGAAGGGCAGTTATGTTGGTATTCACTCGACCGGCTTTCGCGACTTCCTGCTGAAGCCTGAGCTCCTCCGTGCTATCGGCGACTGTGGTTTCGAGCATCCATCGGAGGGTTAGTCCTGAACATCCTAATACCCTAAGTCATCAAATCCCCTCCCTCCAAAGTACAAAGCGTCCGTCCATCTTCGCAACGAAAACAAAATGCGCGCGCGCGGGTTTTCTACCCCGAAAACGAGAGTCACTGTCCTTGTTTTCCATGGACGTCATCTTGGGGACTTTGAAAAATGATCTTGTCAATTATGACTATGCATGGCCATCGATGAACTCGTCGCGGCCAGAAAGAGTGTATCCATCGTATGGTAGGAGCGAAACCGTCCTTCGACATTGGCTATTCTCATTCAAAGCAGCTTGAGCTGTGTGGGAAATTCTGGCAAAAAAAGAAAAAGGAGGGGTGGCATGGCTGAAAAGGCCCTTAGCATCCTACCAGCATGGGTATCGCGTCCATGTCCACGGCCAGCGGATGAAGGCTTTGTTATTGTCGCATTGCGGAGGCAAGCGAGGCATTCCGAATGTCCATGACGACCTCGACACGCCGCGCCTCGTTCCTGACGTGGTGCTTGTTCGTTTTGACGCCGCCCCTCATCGCTGCGACGGTGGACGGACGGGCGCTTTTGACGCATTGCATACATCATTCGTTTCTACTTGAAGAAAGCCCATTATCTAACATCCGCTCGATCGACAGTCCAACAAACCTGTATCCCTCAGGCCCTCCTCGGTGGTGACATCATTTGCCAAGCCAAATCCGGTCTGGGTAAGACGGCTGTCTTTGTCCTCGCCACCTTGCAGCAGGTCGAGCCCGTCAACGGAGAGGTTTCGGTTGTGGTTATGTGCCACACCCGTGAACTTGCCTACCAGATTCGTGATGAGTACAATCGATTCAGCAAGTACATGCCCGACATCAAGACCGGCGTGTTCTATGGTGGCACTCCCATCAAGACCGACATGGAGACCTTGAAGAACAAGGATACCTGCCCGCACATCATCGTTGGTACTCCGGGTCGTCTCAAGGCTCTCGTGCGCGACAAGGCTCTCCGTCTCGGCAGTGTTCGCATCTTTGTTCTTGACGAATGCGACAAGATGCTTGACCAGCCCGGTAAGGGTTCCCTTTCCAAGACGATGTCTTCGGACGACAGATACTGATGGAAGTAGACATGCGCACCGACGTTCAAGATGTCTTCCGTGCCACCCCTACCCAGAAGCAGGTCATGATGTTCTCTGCTACCTTGGCTAATGAGATCAAGCCCATTTGCAGGAAGTTCATGCAGAACCCTACTGAGCACTATGTCGATGAAGACACCAAGCTCACTCTGCACGGTCTTCAGCAGTATTACGTCAAGCTCGAAGAGAAGGAAAAGAACAGAAAACTGAACGAGCTTCTCGACGAGCTCCAATTCAATCAGGTCATCATCTTTGTCAAGAGCACCATTCGTGCCACCGAGCTTGACAAGCTGCTGCGCGAATGTAACTTCCCTTCGATTGCTGTACACTCTGGTGTGAGCCAGGAGGAGCGGTGGGCGCCCCCCCCCCTTTTTTTTTTTTTTTTGGCGTCTGGGACGCTGGACAACACGAATACATCTAACAATGGACAGTATCAAACGTTACAAGGAGTTCAAGGAGTTCAAGAAGAGAATTTGCGTTGCCACGGACGTTTTTGGCCGTGGGATTGACATTGAGCGTATCAACCTGGCCATCAACTACGATTTGCCGGCCGATGCTAGCTCGTACCTCCACCGCGTCGGTCGTGCGGGCCGTTTCGGTACCAAGGGCCTTGCCATTTCGTTTGTCAGCTCAGACCAGGACCAAGAGGTGCTCAAGGAGATTGAGAAGCGGTTCGAAGTTGCTCTGCCGTAAGTGTCAGCCCTTGTTTCTTGTCTTGGGAAAAGAAATCTCTGGGTGGACATTTGGTGCGCGTACATTGACTGATTGTTGTTAGTGAATTTCCCAAGGAGGGTGTCGATGCCAGCACCTACATGGCCTCGTAGGCTGGCGCAGTCTCGACGAGGCGTACTACGGATTGTGATGGTTGCGGCTGGCCAGGAAGAAGGGGATTGAACGCGAATGACGTCTCTCGCCTGGAAGCCATGAACAAAATTGGAAGTGATGTGTGTGTGCGGTCTCCAGTTTGCTTGTATTCAATATAGCCGACAGTCAACAGGGTTTGAATTTTGGTACATGATGTTGAGTACGTGGCTGGTTTTGCGGCGGATGAGTGAATGTGGTTCGAGTCTGGTGGGAACTGCGGCTCCTCCGAGGGCCGTGCCCCACCACAGGGCTACCCTATACAACCGGCCTGCTTCCTCGACTCGAGGTTGGGACTTTGGACCGAGTCCTGGATTCATGGTCGCTACTCCGTAGCATGTCGGCATTTGCCGTACCTTCACAGCCACTCGATCATGTTGGTACCCGCTTTCCCTGGCTGCGGCGGCGAAGCCGGGTCAACGCCAGCCAGCCGGGATATCTGCCTCTCTACGGAATACCGAGCAAGATGTAATGAGTCAGCGGTATCGGCGGGTGGGCCATCTTTCCACACGGGACAGGAATGGGTCGGGGTCGGGATGTGCCCAGGTCGACATGACGTGCTGGCCTCGTGACCCGTACCGCCGGACCTGGCTGGAGTTGACTCATGCGATGCTGATGCAAAAAACAGGACTGGGCCGAGGGGCATGGACGGACAGGCCACAGGCAAGGGGAACTAAACCAAACTAAACCAACCTTACGGGCGGTTAGTGAAGAAGAGGGCCTGAAACGAAGTCGACAGCCCTCCGGGCCAGGGCAGGGGTTTTTCTTCTCGCGCGTGATTTTGGGCCGCGGACGAGGCCGGCCGATATTTGGAGTTCTTGATGCGCTTGCGCCGCTACGGGAGGCTTTGCTGAAGCGCAAAACTGGCTCATCGTCAAGAGAAAAAAAGCGACAGGGGGTGATCCCAAGCGCCTCGCCTCTTCCCTTCCAGTTGGCCTTGCCGCGACCAAGTCAAGTGGAGATGGCTGCCTCTCTGCCCAATGACACTCTGTGACGGACCATGTTCCCGTAATGAGATTGAAGGATAATCGAGAGTGGGTGAAGTCACCGAGGTGTGTCGAATTTGCGGAGCGCATCCGTCGTATCATCCCATCCCATCGCACGCGGCCATGGAGTGATACCCTCGACACCACACCATGTGCTGCCACACTTTTCGTGCCCAGTGGCAAGGGGTACGGAGTACGAGGCAGCATCTTCTCGCTTTCCAACATGGCGAACCCTTTTGTTTCGGATCCCACGTCCTTGCATGCCTGCCCGTCGTTTCACCCGCAGTGCGGACTCCGGAGCAGGGAGGAATTCTGCAGACGACTTCTTTCTGCTTTTGATGTTTTTCGATTTACTCCATTTGGTATTTTGAAAGGGGGGAGATGCTGGTCGTACAATTTAAGCGATGATACTCTTCTTCCCTGTACGTGTGAAACAGGACTAAACCTGGAGGCAACTTCCCTCGAAATCATCAGCGTTGGATGGACTTCTGCATGATGATTCATCTTGCACAGGGTGAGCTTCGAGGGAGACGGCTAGCAACAGCCTGACCATTGATAGGAGGGGCGTCCGGCGGAGCAGAGAGGACACGAGAAGCAGTTCAATGTTTGCTTGCTGATGGACGGTCATGGATCCCATCGTGGAGGATTCTATGCACTCGGCTGCTTTGGGACGCCTTGCTCAGCCTGAGGCATCAAGGCACAGAGGACGGAACACGGAACGCGGAGCCCGGAGTTACTACTCCGGACTTCCAGGCAGGTAAGGGCCTCTTTTCTGTGCACTCTTGCACGCTCATCGTTAAAGTAGAAAGTAGGCCCTGTGCAGTTTCTTTCACTCGAGCTGGATAAAACACTGAACGACAACGCGCGGGTACTAGTACTATCGTGTGTCGTTGTTGCGTCTGGTTCGCGAGAGTACTCCGTAGCAGTGGTGCGTACGACAAGACACCACCTCTGATAACTAGCCGCTAAGCGCCTACGACCACTTCTTTCGAATGCAGAGACAGGGCTTGGTGCCTAGATTCGCCACACGAACTGTCGATGCTAGCAACATGCGAAAAAGGCATCTCGCTGCAGCGCTCTCTCGCCTCGACCAGCAGGCATCATCCTCGGGCGGTGACTTTTGCAGGTCAAGAGGCTTCCACAGTGGCGAGTGCGGCGCCTTTTGGATTCGACGCGACCAGACCTTGCCCTGCTGCTCTGACCGACTTGTTGAAGCGTTAAAATTCGACGTGAAGTGCCACGACCCCTGAGACACCACCTGACACCGACGTATCCGGCCGGAAGAGGCCCGACTGGAAGCTTTGCCTCGTGCCGGAATTCGCTATACGGGAGAAGAAAAAAATAAAATAAAAGCCCAGCTGTGACAGTGACTGGCTACGAAATTTGACTGATGGTGAACGAGGCTGTGTGATGCGAGTTGACTCCTGTACCTATTCCCCCCTTCGTAGTTGTAATAGCAGCAGTTTGCCGTGCTGGGAGGCTGTGAAACCGTAACTGCAGCAAACGAATGTCTCTGACTGATGGCCGCCACTCCGTTCCGTCAACGGCATGAATGTACTGGCTGGAAAATCAATCAGTGGCAAGTGGCTACAATATTCTTGCCCCTCGCCCCTCATTATCATCCCTTGGCTTCTTGGCTTCTGCGGTGGAGTGGAGTGAGATCACCGGTATCGTAATATGCCGTGTTTCCTAATAACGGGCTGTGACTCTATTGCGGAGGCACTGAGGCAGCAACCGGAAATGGAAGCATCGCCAGCCTCAGAGGCATGGAAGATTCGTTCCTATAGCCCTCCACGGGAGTGGCTACTAATAAGGCCTGCCATACTCCGCATAACTTGCCTGATTTTGCCCTGATGACATGTGTATCGCAGTAATGTCACGTCTCGCCCATGCAGCTGTGGACTATGCGGCTTGCCCTCGGGTCACGTCGGTCGACTCGGTCTGAACATTAGCAAGACCCAATAGTACAACGAGTGCAGTGCGTGGATGAGTCAAAGACACATTTCACTGCCGAATACACTCACTCTGTACGGCGTGCGGAGTACAATGCCTGCAATGTGTCTGCTTACTGGCTGAAGAGTTGCTGGACAGACTTCCTCACCGGAAACTGCTGTGCTTCTGAAGCAGGCTATTTGTTGTAGATTGAGGCCTGACACCATGTCTGCTTTGCAACGCTCGGCTTGAAACGGAGTTCGCATCATCAGCACCAAACACGGTGAACAAGAGTATGACATGGAAAAGACCCTTGACCCAGCCGTTTGAGCCTGGCAACCTCGTCAGTTGGCAGTGCAGCCTTTGACCCGTGAAATAAAGTGCCTGGAGAGCCTCACCTCGCGACCATATTCTGAAGACGTGGCTTGGCTTGCGACTGCGGACGTGACGGATATCTCCAGCAAGTAACTACTCCGTGCGGAGCAATGCAAGCGAGCCCAAGGCAAGGTTGCGGAACACACAGGTCAAGACGGAATAAACAGATGGATTTGAGCCTGGCTGCATCGAGCGCGACAATCTGGCAGCCACAGAAGAGAAGAGTCATAGCCATGGCCTTAGGAACGCCACATTTGCCGCTGCCCATCCATCAGGTTGTGTCGTCCACCACACAACTTCCATGTTATAGCCTTGGCAATGGCACTGACGGGCAGATGAGAAAGGAGCCAATCTGCCAGTCTGCGTTTGGACATTGCCGTGGTTTGTTTGGTGAGGGCGAAAAGACCTCGCCGCCACCCCAACAGCAAGAGGAGCACCCGGAGCAGTAACAGGGGTTTGAAATGCGGCGGCCGAACTGCACGACGGGCTCGAAGTGGGCGATGTGCTGCTAAGTGCGCCCGCTGGACGGCGGACGAGGTGGATGGGATGGATTGAAGTCAATCACGTCCAGACGTCAGTCATGACTGATGGCACTGCACTGACCGAGCGCAGCGGGTGCAGCGAGGAGCGGGCAGGCAGCGGGCAGGCAGCGGGGGGGTGGGAGGCGAGGGCAGTCCTCCCAAGGGGTGGCCGGCGACCAGTATTTTGGGAGTGGCTGATCCAATCAGCGATTCGCAGAAAGCAGATTGGCCAGCTGCGGCCAGTGAGAAGGCGGTAGTGGATACGCGGAGGGGCCACTGATTGGATAGACCAACACACGGGGCACTCCGTACTCCGTCATAGTTCACGCGCGCGCGAGGTACATGTGCGCCGGGGGAAGATGGGGCTAGATGCACCCAGTACTAGTACGTACTCGAGACGCGGCAGACCTTGGTTCCGAACACGCCCATGATGGTGGGCTCGCTCAGTCGTACCGAATACTCAGTGTGCGCTCCTTGCCAGTACGGAGACGGAGTACCCAGCACCTGGCTGCCGTGCGGGTGGCGTCCTTTCTGCGTGCGTGCGCGCGCGGCCTCCACAGCAGGCAGGCAGCGCTTCCCCCCTTGGTGCTCACTGCTCTAATTTCTGGCCGTTCGTCCAGAGACCGGGCAGTCGGTCGACGTGACGGCCAAGGAGAGGCCATTTCGCCTGACCGTGGATTCAAAACCACTGGCCCTCGCATCGGCTCTCTGTTTTCTTTCCCCTTCGAACCTCAATCTCGACGCCAAGATGCAGTTCAACTACGCCTTGTAAACGTTGCCAGCGTTTCTCGGCAGTCTGCTTTGGTTCATCTCCACTCCACGGCGCACTCTAGTTTGATTTCTGGGATTTTTATTCTTATTCTTGTACTATTTGTTCTTTTCCTTCCCACCGGCGCAGTCGCCAGTGCACCTCGTCAACACCAGACACCAGACACCAGAAGACTGGACACCAGCACCGACCTCGTCTCTCTTTGCTCGCAGCGGCATTCACTTGCACCTTGCGGGCATTTCCCCAGAGGGACGACCGAGAAAGGAAAAAATAAAGAATAAAAAAAAAAGGCAAACGGCACCACAGACCAAGCAGCACGCATCGCACGCGCAACGCAGAGATCCCGTCGAGTCCATCGCCGGCGACGAAGAATCCGTCTGTCGTGTTCTTTGTGTGTTGCTCGACTCGCTCTCACTTACTGAGCCTTTTTTAATCGCAGCTGTGTCATTCGACCCTGACGCAACCGCCCAACCAACCCTCGGTCTGCTTTTAGTTCAGCAGCACCGACCAAAGCAAAAACCCTGTCCGTCGTCTTCGCCACATCTTGGCCGAGGCGTTGCCATCGGTCGTTTTTTTTTGGAGGGCCCCCGTCTCTCCAGTCACTGCCTCGCCGCTCCGAAGTCGCCAAGCCCCTTCTCGTTGGCTGCCACTTGGCCCGCGCGGCAAGACTCGGTCGCCACCGCGCTCAGTCACCTGGCTCACCTTGGGACACCGTGGAAACGCTCGCAAGTCAGATCGAGTCACACAAAGCATCCGACCACCCGACCACCCTCTCACTCGCCCTCACCCCGTCCCATCCCACTCCCACTGAATCCCCACTCCACTTTCGCCTTCGCCTCGAGGGGCCGTCACGGGCTCTGACGCCGTTGTCACTGCTCGCTCTCTCCGGTGGCCTCGCCTCCCAGGCTCCGTCGAAGGAGTCACATCGCCGGCACCGTCTTGGATAAATACGCTATTCCAGGCGCACTCATACACGTCTTTGAGCCGCATCGCTTGCATCACCCATTCACTGTTCCTGCATTGCGTCCACCCGCACCCCGAATCGTGACGACCCCTGCACTACCTTTTCGTCGTCACCGGACACGGTCGAGTCCATCTTCCGCAAACCCTCCTCTGCCGTTTCTTATTTGCCGATGGTAGTCACTTTTTGAAGCTCCCATCCCCGTCACCGCCGACTTGTCCGTAGGAGCATTTGTCGCAATGCCTCTTGCAAGTTATATTCCCACTCCAGTCGCCGTTACCGCTTCGTCTACCGGTCTGATCCTCGTTGTAAAGTCGGCTGTTGCCACCAGTGTGTGAACCGCCGCTTCTTTGCGCTCCGGATTTCGGCTCCCACAAACAGCTAGCAGATGCTGCTTTCTTGGACCCAGCCTTACTCGACCACGGTATATCTCGAATTGCTTCACGGTCACCTACCGGCATATCGGTTGACTTTGGCCTGACGGCGACTGGAACCTCGACAGACAACGGCTTAATGCGATACTGATCCAAGCCATTCATTCCACCACCCCTGCACCACCCACGAGCCAAGATGAGGTACCACGCAGATAAGCCCGCCTTCGTCGCCTCTACCTCTCAATATGCGCCTTATAGCTCTGCCATGAGTTCTGCGGCCTCTGTCTCTACAACATCTGTATGGTCCGACGCCGCCTCCCAATCATCCGACGACACCTCCATCTCGGCCAGTACCTCTGATTCCGACTCGGCCGACGCCTTCTGTCGCTCCAAACACGCCGCTACACCTGCTCAAACTTTTGCTAGTCACCGCAGCTCATCCCACCAGCCTGATGTCGAGGCTGTGCCACCCGAGTTGCGACAGAATCCTAGACGCACCACCTCTGCATGCCGCACGGGCCGAGGAGGCTGCCCCCCTGCTCTAGTGCGGCAGTCGGACCGCAAGGTCAATTTTGTCGACAACCTAGTCGGTAGGTGGCAACTATTTGCCTCTTGTCCTGTTTATCCAATGCTTAGCCTTTTCTCGCAGATTCTTCCACCCAGATCGTAGAAGCGATCTGGCCCCTGTCCTCGGTCGTATGCCGTAGCGAACTCGGCAGCAAAGTCGTCTTGCCTCTGCGCACTTTCATCCAAGAAACTCTGCGGCGCTCACGTACCAGCTACTCCACACTACAAGTGGCCCTGTATTATCTTATTCTTATCAAGCCGCACGTTCCAAAGCACAACTTTACTACCGAACAGCCCGTCGATAGACACGCGGATCGGGCTCTCCAGTGTGGTCGTCGCATGTTTCTCGCAGCTCTTATACTTGCCTCGAAGTATCTCCAGGACCGCAACTACTCGGCTCGTGCCTGGAGCAAGATTTCTGGGCTCAACACTCTGGAAATTAATCAGAACGAGATCGCCTTCCTCGTGGCCGTCAAATGGAGGTTGCACATCACGGATGAGGTTTTTCGGCGCTGGACTGAGATTGTCCTGAAGTACACGCCACCTCCTTCACCCCCCTCGCCTGGCGCCGTCTCTCATGCGTACGCTCGGCAGTCTGCCGACTGGAAGCAGCTCATTTTGAAGCTTGAGCCCGAACTCGCGAACATCGACGGGCTCGTTTCCACCACATCCGCCAGCGCCACGGCTGGTGACTTGTGTACGCTCTCCCCCCGAAGCATTCTCAACCACCCCCAGGAAACCCGCAGCAGCCCAGCCGTTGTTCTCGACAACTTGAATACAAGCTCGACCCCGACTACAAAGTTGCCCATTGTGCCGGCCGTTATGGAGTCCTCATCCAGCTGTGTCTTTACTCCTGGCCGACTGGCTCCAGCCCTGACTCTCTTGCCCACTCCACGCCTTACACCGCAGATCAGCGGATTCTGCACTCCTGCAGTGAGTGCCGCATCCCATCTTCTGGGCAAAAGCAACGCAATGGGTCTTGCCATGGCCCACGTCAGCACGTTCAACACCACACATACAACTCTGGATCGCTTCTCCTGCTCTGTCACCTCTTCGCCTCAAGGATACTGTCCCGCCCGTCGGTCCTCTCTCGCCAACTCGGTGTCCACCGCCTCGTCCCCCGACTCCATGGTATCGGATTCATCAGGGTCTTCTCGCTCGTCGTCCGTCTCCTCCGCTTCCAGCCTTGCTAGCGCGACCCTCTACAACAGCATTAGCCGTTGCAGTGTGCCGTCGCGATTCCGGTGTGCGAAGCTCTGGAATGACCGGGTGAGCTTGAGACCTTCTTTCCCCTCTGTTCCCGAGGATTACGATGAACACTGCCTGGCAGCCTCACCTGAGTCGTGCACCGACCCAGAGACGGCCAAACTCGGTGATTTATGTCTCGACACTCCCCTGGCGAGACGTGAGCGAGGGCTCGGCGAAATGGCCCGTGATCCTGCATCGGATGCCGCAAGGGCTTTACAGGATCTTCACAATCACAACGTGTCTGCGGACGCTACGCCCACAGCCATAGCTGGTTCCAAGCGAAATCGCGCACCTTCCATTGAAGATGCTCTGCAGGAGAACGTCCGCGATATCCTTAGACGCCAGTATGAGTCCCCTGACCCGTGGACCCCCCATTGTGTGAACTCCCGTGCAGTTGCTTCGGAGTCTCGCCTACAAGTTCCCGTCCATCCCAACTTCGGCCGTGACACAAAGCGAGTGTGCTGCTCTGCAGAAGCTGCCACTGGCTATCAGAATGCTAGCATTCACCCTGCTATCAGCCTACGACGACCTGGCATATGGGACGGTATCCTTAACTGAGATGCACAAGCAGTCACGAGCATTCGTACCACGCCAACAACATCCTAAACCGATTGGACACCAAGGCCAGAATCCATAACAGCCTACATGCAAAGTCGAACACGGTCTGGCCAGTAACATGCAGACTTGCTTCTGATATCTTTCTTGCCAATTTTTTTAATATATCGTCGGCTTCCTTTAATACCCTGGAGGGGGCTGGAGTCATTTGTCAATGGGAGCTTTCTGATGCCATAAATCCTTGGGCGTCTCTTTGTTTGTAGAACAGGTGGATGGCGTCCGGGGACATTGGCTGAGAAACGCGATAATATATCATCCCAGGAACGGCGCACTGATGGGGGAACAGAGGCGAGGGTTCAGTGATTTTCGTTTTTGTCGAGTTGTGAAGCGATGAGCAAGACGGGCAGAGAGGAGGCATGTCGACAAACGACGAACGTGGCCTTGTACGACTAGAAGACTCATGCACGCATCTTGGTTTGTTTGCAATTTTCATTTAATGTATTTCGGAGAATATAGTCAAGGGCACCTCTACGGCGATTTCTTCAAGCACGGGACGCCAGCACATATGCCAAACACGAAAGGGAGAGCACGATCAGTGTGCGGACAGCTACAGCCATTTGCACCTTGGAGCATGCTTGACGACCGCCAAATAGGTGCTCAAAGTTGCCTCGCACACGTTTGCAAAACAAATCAAGAAGACAAGTTCAACATGAACTTGACGGCTCTTGGGGAAGAAGGGAAAATACAAAAAAAAAAAGGGTACCGCATGTACCCAATAAGACCCCCACTCGACCTCCTCGACAGGCGGTTGCCCCCGAGGTTAATGTACGGACCGGGACACGAAGGAGAAGAGCATTGTGGAAATCCAAGGTTTAGGAGCCAGAAGCTGTTCTCGATCGAGGAGAGCGATGATGCTATGGCGAAATCTAATAGCTAGCTTGGAAGAGTCCTCGAAGATAGTGGGCACTTCGCGAGCCGCGGGGGCCTGCTTTGCCACCTTTTGTTTTGAGATTGGTAAATGAGGCGCTTCCCCAGGCAAGCGGAGGAGAGCCAAAAAGAGAAAAGTCCAAGGAAAGCTGACCTGCCCGGCTGAAGTGACTGTCTTGTCTCCCTGGTTGATTATTGACGTGTACGATTGAGATTGCTTGTGCAACAGGAGGAGGCTTAGCTTTGCAGCTGATTCGACGTGTGGTGGCGACGTGGACGAGTTGAAGCAAGCGAGTTTGGGAGCATCATCCATCATCCGACTCCCAAGTCGCACCACCACAACAAGAAAAACGCCGAGAGGGGCCAAGACGCGAGCCTGAGCCTGAGCCTGAGCCTGGCCTTTGCGGCAGCTGTTGATGCCTGGACGGCGCTGATCCCGTGAGCATAAGTCTACGCGTCCGCGACCAATGTTATGTTCCGCTGCTCCGCGTGAGTCATTGGGTCATGGCGTTTTGCCTTGGCCTTGTTCACGTCGACGGAGCTTGCCGCATTGGGCAAAAGGCGGGTTCATGTGAGTGGTTCGTGTCAGCGGAGATCCGGAGATGCGACGATCCAATGAAATGAGCGCACGCCATGTGGCGCCGCGACTTTTCAGCTCGACTCGAGCATTACCATTCATTACTGGTGAGAAGTGGCAATTACCACCGGCCGACATCACTTTGGGTGGAGGAGGACGAGGACGGAGGACGGAGGACGGAGAACGGATTGCCTGGTTTCGAAAGCGGCGCTGGTGCGTGAGATATCAGCGGCGTGGCGGGCGGCACAGGCCCAGGGGCCAGGGGCCAGGGCCCAGGGGTACAGTTCACGATGGAAGTGACACGAGTCGCTGCGAACAGTGGTGACTTGCGTCGTCGAGGTAAGCATGCCATGAACCATGGACGTGAAGATTCCTGTTCGCTTTGGACATCCTTGCCCGGACAGTTGGCCATGCGCCACGTGGTGTCTGGCGTGGAAACGACGTGAAATGTACTCCCCGTTCGTCATCCCGACCTGAACGAGCGGGCTTCCCAGGCGTACAGCCAGCAAGATCATCGTCATCATGATGGAATTTCTGGCGAGATTTTGCCATCAGCCAGAGGTGACTGCCACTCGGTGTATTGCTGTGAATCTAGGTTTGCTGGACGAGGACATTTGTAGACCCAATGTCTCTCATGCAGCAGTTTGACAACCTTGTAGATAGCCGGACCCCTTGGCTTATGCGCTGGAGCGTGTCCCGGCAGCTTCCATCTTGACGCTTCTCGCCGAGTGTACACAACTGCACTCTAGTTCAGTCCGTCACCACGGACCATGGCTTGCGTGCTCGGCTCGTCTGGCCTGCTGGGCTCTGCGGACGAGTGACGAGTGACCCGTGTGTTGATCGGTGCGCAAATAGCAAAACACACCTGGCAAAGTAAGCAGTCGCACATCCTCAGCCGTCAATAATTGAAGAAATTTCAAAGCCCGTTTCGTTGCTTACTCGTGCGTTTGTCCGTCCCGGCCCCTGGCCCTGGCCCTGGCCGTGCCGGTCACGTCGGCGAGTTGTCTTGTCTGTGGCGGCTGACCAAGCTGAACGCTGGCCGAGTCGAGACTCCGTCCGTCAAGCGGGCATGTGATGGTATTGCGGAAGCTGCATAAACACGTCGAGGGTGCTCCGTATCCGTCGGAGAATGCCCCTGCTGGCGGGCTCGTCGCCCCCCCACGCGAGACGTCTGTCGAGACTGACGAGGTGCTTCCGCACGATGTCCTCTGGCAGGTCCAGGAATACCCAGTTGCCGATGAGGCAGTTGATGATGAGCGGGTCAGGCTCTTCTGCATTGATGACGGCATTTTCGAGACATGCCACCTTTGTCTCCCAGGGCACCGGAACTGGATTCCGACTCTCGGCGCCCATTTGGAGGCCGCCACGGGCAAGCCAAAACAGGCGTCGTTTCTTTTCGTCGTCCCACGGGCCCGTAACTAGATCGACGGGCAGGCGGGTCATGGGGTGAAGGTCGTGTGTGCCCCAGCTCATGGACTCGGTTTTGAATGCCGGCCAGGCGAGCGCTCGCCTGTAGTCTGCCTCGAAGCAGTCACGGGCATTGAAGTGCGAGAACCCACCCTGATGGTCGTGGTTCAAGTGATGGCTGCCGGCTTCAACTTCAAATGGTACGCTGTGTTGATACCATCTGTCTCGAGCATATCTGTCTGACCAGGCTTGTTGGGCCTGAAGAATGAAGTCGATATCCACCCAGGGGAGCTCGAGCATCGCGGACTGGCAACGGTTAGATGCCATGTGCGCTCAACAAGAAAAGATGGCACAGGCCCAATTGCATTCTGCGCTTTCTCACCTGGAACACGGCATCGCCGCCAAACGACGGCCCGTCCTCCTCTTGTATTCTCGGCCCGTGCCATTGCGTCTTGGGAACGCCAAACCACTGGTCCCAGGTGTCGTGGAAAGCCACCATGAATAGTCGCAGAAGCGTAGCTCTTCCAGAGAGTTTGGCACCAATCAGGTGACTTGATCGAGGGAGCGAGAGGCTTTCCGAGTACAAAAGTATGGTTTCCAGCAGCTCGGCAGGCAGAGACTCTAGGACTGTGTGATGTCGAGACAAGCGGCTGGCGCGGACAGAAGCAAGCGATCTCTTCATCTTTCCTGGAGTGCCGTCCGCAGCAGCGACGGAAACTGGGATAGGCGGCGGTTCACGCTTTCGTTTGCCCCTTATGCGGACGGGAGTTGGACGCATGTCGCGCAGATTGTCGTCTCGAGAGCAGATACTCCTCCGCGGTCTGCCCCTCGCGAAGTCGGCATTTGTAACGACATGCCCGAATCCAGGGCTTGACGACTGGAAGAGGCCCTGTCGCGACACTCTGTACTCGGCCTTGGAACGAAGATTGGTGTAAAGGCCAATTCAATCGAGGTTGAGGTTGCGAGATGACGACGATGCGGTTCTGGGTGCTGAGCATGTACAATTAATAAGAAATAAGACAGTTTTGAGTGGATCGGCAGTTGGCCGCCCCACCTAAAAAAAAACCAACGAGTAAAAAAAGAGAAAAGAAGAAAAAAGAAAATAAAAATAAAAATAAAAAGTGCCAAAGGAACGAACCCCTGCCGTCCAGCCAGTCACAAAATGCGCGACGCGCGCTAAGCCCGTCTGGTGCATTTTCATTTGTACGAGGTAAATTTCCACCAAGCCTCGATATTTCTTCCACCTGGACGAGGACGATCAACATCACGATAGATCCTGAGACGGCGAGCCCTTGCCGCTATCGTCGCGTCTGATGCTGGACACGTGGAACTCTGCATCAAGTTGTTGCTTTACCGGCTCGCGATGCAGCCAGCTCTGCGATTGCCTGTGCCGTCCCGCAGCCTCCTTCGCTTCCTGAAGTCGCAGTCCAATGTCGCTTTCTTGGCCCCCAGCAGCGCAAACAGCTTGGTAGCTGCCGGCAGTCGACTTTGTCGACGAGGCAGAACGCCAGAAGGTCTGAACTCTGTGGGCGTCAGATCACCGACGACGTCGAGGGGCCAGCGCCATGTCGGCTCCCGTCTCTGTGCAGTCACGTATCCTTGTCGAGACGCACCGCCGGCAAAATTGGCCAAGCTGGGATTTTGCACCACGGCAGCGAGGCGCGAGTTGTTCGAGCCGAAGCCAGACAGCGAACCAACGTGGCAGCAGAAGCTTTGGGGGAAGAGCGTTCAAAAGGGACCCAAGTTGCTCAAACCAGACGACCTCCCAGCCCCCGACGAGTTTGAGCACGGCTCGTCCATGTTCACCAATCGCCGGACTTTGGCAGCCAAGGCAGCTCTGGAGCCTCGTCTACGATGTACCGAAGTCGACGAGAACGGCAAGGTCATCCTCGTGGATGGGGAGTTTAAGAAGACGGAGCTAATTGCAAAGGTAAGGCAACGACGACACTCGACCTCCCTCCAAGGCGCATTGGTGATGTAATGACGAGGGGCTGAAATAAAAAAACCACAGTTTGGGCTTAACCCCCGAGATCTTCGAAAAATCGACTCCTCCAACCTGCCGCACATCCTCATCCGACCCTCGGCTATTCTCCTCAATCTTTTGCACTTGAAGGTTCTAATCAAGCACGATCGGGTCCTCCTCTTCGACGTATACGGGTCAAAGACATCCTATCCGCAGTCCGCATTCATGTATGACTTGCAGGGGAAATTACAGCAAAAGACGACGCAAGGCGCCAGCAGCAGCCTTCCCTACGAGTTCCGTGCCCTAGAAGCCGTGCTGACGTCGGTGACGTCGGAAATGGAAGCCGATTTCGAGGCGGTGCGAGAGCCGGTGATGCGCATCCTCAGCGAACTGGAGGACGACATCGACCGAGACAAGCTGCGGATACTCCTCATCTTGTCGAAGCGAGTGAGCACGTTTGAGCAAAAGGCCAAGCTGGTCCGAGACGCTATCGAGGAGCTCCTCGAGGCGGACGACGATCTGGCGGCCATGTATTTGACGGAGAAGACGCACGATTTGTACAGGGGCCTGGACGATCACACCGAGGTGGAAATGCTGCTCGAGTCGTACCACAAGCTGACGGATGAAATCGTGCAAGAGGCGGGCAACCTGGTGTCTGGAATCAGGAACACGGAGGAGATGTAAGTGGCACACGAGGACCGGGGCAGAGAGACATTGCTAAAACAAGCCTGCAGCGTTCGTGCCATTCTTGACGCCAACCGCAACTCGCTCATGTTGCTGGACCTCAAGTTCAGCGTTGGGACCCTCGGACTCGCCATGGGCACCTTCCTGGCCGGCCTGTACGGCATGAACTTGGAGAACTTCATCGAGGAAACAAACTGGGGCTTCGGGGCCGTGACGGGCATGTCGACGTTGGCGTCCATCATGGTGTGCGGGTACGGCCTGATCAAGCTGCGCAAGGTGCAGCGCATCAAGATGATGCGCAACGAGCGGCCGCACGTTCCTCGCAGCAGCCAGTACCCGTACCAATACCAGTACCACGACGACAGCGCACTCGGTCTTCTCGACTCTAGAAACAGAGAGATGCTCCGTCGGGCGCACATGCAGAAGGCCATGGCGGCGCGGAGAAGCTGGCTTCCGTTCTGGAAGGCCTAGATTACGTACGACCGCACAGGCATGTAGATGGCGTTGGATGGGGTTCTGATTTTTCTTCTTTTCGGGCCTTGCTTACGGGGAGGCAAACTATATATTGTGTAGGTTATTCTGTTGAAACGATTGCGCCTCTCACCTCTGCTGCTGGAGTCGGTGTATTGGGAAGTGGGATGGATACCCGCAAGTTTGTGCAGGATGACTTGGCACAAGCCCGAATTTCTAGAACATGTCCCGGTAGTAATACATCCTGCTACTACGTAACTACATGTCGAAGGGTTGGGTGACGGGCGTGAGAGAGAGAGCGGAGAGAGAGAGCGGCCACGTCTGACGACTTGCAACCGCCCACTTGCAGCAGGCCAGGAGCCTCTGGGGCAGGGACGAGGGACGACCGTCAGCGTCTACAGCGAGCGACGGGTTACGTGGCTTCACTGATCGAGACGGGGAGGCGGTCACGACCACGACCACGACCACGATCAGCTCGTCTCGGCACTCGAGAAACGGGGGGCGCTGACGTCATCCCCTGCGCCGATCTCCGTCTCCCCGGGGCGCTGCCAAACGGGCAGGGCACGTTAGTTTGCATCCGGCGCTTGTCTCGAAAGCGAAAGAGGCCAACCACCCGTGCAGTTGCATGCATGCCACGGGTCGCTGCCGGCCGCAACGGGCTCGAGATGGGAAAATGGAAAGTCTCGGGCGTCATTGCTGGTCTGCGCCTCCCAAAACAAGCTTCTTGGCGTCGACCCCGCACGCTGAGTGGCCAGCCACTGCCCCTTTGGACGCCTGTTTGGGCGACCGCCGGAGCGAATGCGCCGGCTCCGAAGCAGGACCAGAAAGGATGAAAACACGGCGGAAAGTCGAGTGACGAGTCTCTGCTGGCCATTTTCCAATTTTAATCTTGGGCTTTGTGCAGGGGTGTCCTTGGCGGTTGACGTCAATCGGCGGGTTGGCGGTAAGGGGGGCGCTTTTGGGCTGCGCAGAGACATTGTTATGCCCTGCTTGGTTGCTTGGTTGGTTGCTTGGTTGGTTGCTTGGGCAGGGCAGGGCAAGCAAGGCAAGACGCACGAGGCAGAAATGAGAGCGACGCTGGGCGTGTCGTGCAGGTGACGTGGTATAAAAACATTTGCCCTCGCCTGCGTGACCGCAAACACCGTCTGCCCTCCTCCTCTTTCTCGTGCTGCAGTCCTCCCTCTTTCTCGAAAACACACCTACGTTTTGACACAGCTGGGAAACGAACGTTTCTGCTCCGAGAGGAAAAAAACCCACCTCGCTCAAACAAAACAAAAACCACCACCATGGGCGGCGTACTCTCTTGTGTGAGCACCACCAGGCTCTCCGCTGGCGTGTGGAAAAATGGGACAACCAGGAAGACGCAGATGCTAACGACGGGCTTCTAGATCCAATCCATGTTCGCCACCATAGGCAACTGCATCATGGCAATTGTCAGCGGCATCGGCGGCATTCTACAGGCCATCATCGGCGGAATCGTCTCCTTCGTCGGCATCGTCGTGCGGTTCTTGACCTGCGGGTACTGCGGTCGGGGAGGAGGCGGTCATCGACATGGAATGAGGAGAAGCAGGGTGTAGTACGTCGGCTACTGATTGCGACTGCTTGGAAGTGTGGTGGTACCATCGATACCCCGTGTTACGACGTTTTGATACCTGATACCCTAGTTCCTTTATCATGCAATTTGTTAATGGGTATCTTTTTTTTTCTTTGCTTTTGCTCTCCCTCTTTCGCTTCCATATGTTGACCCTGGTCGCTTGGCCGCCCTACTCGTCCTCTTCCATGACGTTGCGGTTGAAAAACCCGTGTATAGCCTTGCCGGCGACCTTCCCAACCATGGGCTCCAGTTCTGCCACCGTCATGTTCGCCACCTCTTTGATGTTCCCTGTTTCTAGTACGAGGGTCTTGATGTTCTTGGGCGTGACGCCAGGGACTATGGCGAGCATGTCCTGCGGCTCCTGGTTGAACGCCTGGTCTTCTGCCTTCATGTCCTTGTCCAGCCCTGCTTGCACGGCGGCAATCGGATCCGGTTCGTCCTCTTGCGCCTTGAGAGACTCGAATATTTCGGCCGTCTGGTACGGCGATGACGACCATATGATGCGGAGCTTGGGGAAGGCGAGTGTCAGCAGCACGAGCTTTGACTGCAGGTCGGACGACACATTGCTTGGTGCGACGCTGCTCAGGCTGCCTGACAAGTCGGCAAACGGCTCGAGCGTAAACGACTTGTTCTGATCGAATTCGATGAGCAGCATCGGGGACTTGTAGTGCTGGAACATGGTTTCTGCCTGCGTGTACAGACGCCCGTCCTTGAAGGAGGAGATGAGATCGCTGATGGATTTTCGCTCTACGCATACGTTGGGTGAGAGGATGTAGTCGCCGACTGTGAGCATGCAGGGCACGATGATGATGGACCGCCCGTGGAGGAGAGACGGCAGCGAGGAGCGGAATTCTCGAACGTCCACTACGACGCGCGGCGGCTGGGCTGTCGCCGCCAGTCGCCCGCCGCCCGCAATTCGCGTATTGACTGTACGGAGGAACGCCTCTTGCTGGTCTTCGATGCCGTGCGGGTCGACTGTCATGACGATGGACATGCTGGCTCGTTCCTTGATGAGCTTTGTGAAGGAGTCCTTTTCTCGGCGGACCGACGATAGGTAGCGCTGTTCTTCGACTGAGCCTCCATAATACGTAAAGTACACGCGCACGTTTCTGTCATTGTGTGATGAACGGTAGACTTCTACCCTTCGGATGAAGGAGGCGTCTGGCTCGTACATGATTATGTATCGGGGCTCGACCTCCTCGAGGACGTGCTCGTCTTGGTCGCCGTCATAGGCGTGGACCACAACCAGGTCTTGCATTTCGTATAGCTGATAGTAATCTTCCATGTTGTCTAGTGGATCGGCGATGACGTCGTCTTTTTGTTGGGCTTCTTCTTCCGTGATCTGGACTTCGGCCATGAGATGCGCCACTTCGCCTGGCTTCTCAAAGTACTGCGCAATGACGCCTGTGTCTGTTCGTCCCGCCGAGGCACTGGCGTTACCTCCGCCACGGACACGACGCCTTTTGTTAGATGGAGCTTTGCCGCGGCCCATGCCAGCATGGCCAGGCCGAGCGTCAGCTGCGCCATTGAGGGCCCTTTGGTTCTCCGAGAAGAGGGTTGCGCTTACTTGAGCGAACTGTCGCTTCCAGGTCAGGTAGCTGCGTAGACGCTTTCTCATCATGAAGGCAGCCGATGGTTTGTGGGCATCCTCATCGTCGTCCTTGGCGGGGGTTGCAACCTTGGGCTTTACGTGCATCGTTTGCAAGTAGTCGCGGAGCTGTCTACATGTATCCGTGTTTGAGCACATGATTAGTATGGTCCCGTTCGAGTCGTCTCTGAGTGGCGGTTCAAAGTAGAGGTCTCTGTCAATCTCCTCGAGCACTTCAGCCAGTAGAGCCCATTTTGGAAGCTCCTCGAGGACTGGCCGCAAAGAGTCGATATTGTCGCCGCTTTGCGAGATTGTTTTCGCGTTGGCTGAGTACACTCTCCTTCGCGCAGTGTCGAATATGGTCTGGGCGGCATCCAAAAACAGCCAGGGTGATTGATTCTGCCTCGTAGATCCAGGCGGAGGAGAATGAGCCGCATGGATGGTGTCGAGATGCTGTAAAAACGACACGGCATCATATGTTAGGACGGACGTCAAGAGACCACGCAAAACTGTCAGGTCGTTTACAATCTGTCGTGTCTTCCAACTCACTCGGTGCCAATTGGGGTCCAGCTGTCGCCGAACCATGACGTCAAAGTTCTTAAGCAAGGCGCTGTCGAGGTTCCAGTCGTCCATTTCGAGGCCTGAATTGCCCTTTTTGAGCTCGTGAATGCTGACTTCAACACATTCCATAATGGCATTTTGGATATTCTTCATCGAATCCGTCATGGGAACCTCCAGCTCAATGACTTCGGCCTTCTTCTTGCCTTCGAGAGACTGTGCTACAGTGACGTGGAACCTCGGCCACAAAGACGCCTTCTTCAGGAACAGATTGCGCATCATGGTCGACAGTGGGGAAAAACCCGTCGAAAAAGGGTCTGGGTTATCGGAAAAGGCCTTCAGGAAGCCAATCTTGTTCTTCTGCCGATACACTCTGAGGATGAAGGCCTCGAGTGAAGTTGCGACAACACGGTCAGCGTGAAGCACGACAAGCCCTGTTATTGACTCCGGATCCAGCAGGCCGGTAAGAAGATCAACAACCAAGATGCGTGAAGTGATGCTGAAGATGCCACCCCCAGCGTACATCTTCTCGCGCGCACCAACACTCTGAAAATCAGTGTTCACGAGCGTTAAGCCCCGGGCCTTCGGAGAGGCACTAATGGCGGCGTGCTCGGCCAGTGCTTCGCCAATCCACCCATTTTCGCGCTCCTCGGCGCCTACGACGACGACGAGGTTGTTCCCGGCTGCATCATAGGAGTGAAGCAGGTTTGTGACGAGGCGCATCAGCCCCAGGCCGCGGGCGAGCACGACGAGCTCATCTTCTGTCCGGAGCTCCTGGAAGAGGTGCTGTTGATACTCCTGCGACGAAGTTGATGAGTAAACCCGAGGCAGTCGCTTGGCCAGACATTGAAGTGGGAGTAACATACCAATGGTAAGGAGAGCTTGACTGGTTGCGGGGCATTGTTTGCAGACATGCGAGCAACCGGAAAATTGACGGGAGTGATGAGTGTGAATGTGAAATGTGATTGACGATGGAGATGTTCTCAATTTGATTGACGCAGACCACCCGACCCGATCAGCACCACATGGAGCGATTCGATGCGCTGTGGCTCAGTGCAGTTGTAGCCGTCCGCCGACTCAAGGCGACTTCTGATTGGCCAAGATGACGAGCTCATCGCTGTACAGCAACTGCCCTGTCAGCAATTGCGCCTAACTTACAGGCCCGGGGCCCTGCCAGTTTTAGGGCCTAGTACTCCAACATTAGCACTTGGAAGCAGCATAGCACTGCCATGGCATGACTAACGAGGCAGGCCCCAAACCGTCCGAAACCATGGATTGTTAGCCGTCGTGATACTGGTGACTTGACTGCGTTGGCGCCGTGAATCGAGATGGAACACCTTCCGAGAGGAACCGAAGTTTTTACGGGTAGTCATTGTAAGTGGCTCGAGCCGCGTCAAAACTCAGAAGTCAAGACTGGGCGAGGAACCGGCATCTGTTGTCAGGCTGTGTCTGTGTCATGGATGGAGTGGTTGTGCGCCCTCGTAACTACCTAAGTTATACCTTGCCATGTCTGCTACAGCACTAGAGTGTTGCAGATCAGCTGCAGCAACATCGTACTGTCATTGTGACTGTGCTTGGACATGGGAAGTTTATCCCGTCCCACAGACGTGTAGTGGTGATGGAAGACCCCCGATCTTGCAATGATGGAGGGGAATTGGGACAGCTCGCCGTGGATGTCTCTGGCCAGCTGAAGAGTCTGCATGTCTAATTCTGAGTCTGGAGATCGGAACTGGACCATCTTGGCAAGAAGGAATGGGGAAGAGGGGAAGCCAACGAACGGACTTGACGACTTTCAGGACTTATCATTACGTAGTGGTCCACGGACCACAACGCCCATTTAGAGGCCTACGTCTCGGGGCGTCTCGTGCTGAAAATAGTCCGGTGCCCGTCTCACGGCCAAGTGTTTCGAGGGAACATTGTGCACCAATGGCCACCGGACGCCTCCCCCCCCATCTTGACGGTTCCTCAGCGGCCGACGTCATCCATCGATTTGGCATGCTCTGGAGGCCGCGGGACCGGTTTCATGCTTTGAAAAAGTACAAATAAGACTCGCTACAACCTGTTGAATCAGTTTTTAGCTTTTTTTCTTGTTTCCTTGTCCAGAATTTACCCCGTGTTTCCGGACTCACCCACACTCAACCACTCTGTAAGACTTGAAACATTCAGTCAACGTACAATCCGTCGCCAATCAAACGCCAGACCCTGCAGCGGCAACGTCATCATGGAAAAGGTCAAGGAAGCAGTCAACAAGGCTACCTCAAGCTCCGACAGCGTAAGCCCCCCCTGGAATTCGTCGTCACAATCAGACGTCGGAGTCATGGCTGATCTGATTCTCACTTTGCCTGAGAATGCGACAATTCCTACATTTATGTTAACAATTAACAAACAGGAGAAGCAATTCAGCACGCAGCCCATCCAGCACGGAATTGACCCCAAGATGGCTCCGCACCAAGCTCAGCCGGGCCCAGCCTTGGCTAAGGAAATGCCCAGCGAGGAGGGCAGCAAGGCGGAGCGCGAGGCGAGAAAGGAGGAGCTGAACCAATAGACGACGCAAAGGAGACAAAGGATCCGAGGTGAAACGACGCCGAAAAAAAAAGAAAAAGAAAAAGGATGTATTTGTAAGAAAACATAGTCGTACCGCTAAATGAGATTTTTGATGGCGCATTATACTTTTCCAAGGGAGCAGAAAGTACAGAACAGAAAACTCAGCTGCTCATGTTCTCGACTTGTGCTGGTGGCTGTGCAGTGGTCTGGCGTCGTGGCACTGGGGCGTTCCTTCCCTCAGGTCTGTTGTCTGTTGCCAACATCTGGTCACCCACCTCCAGATCCGGTGGATTCGGTGGGACGGTTGACCTTTGTCACCCACCTGCAGTCGTTCACTTCACGCAACTCGCGACCCCAATTGCTCTTGTCAACCCGCGAAAACCATACTCGGAGACCTGGTAACGTTAACTACCATCTCCCACAACCTCGCTCGTCTCCATCCGGCGTAACCGCCAAAGGCAGAACGTCGGCGTCGGGCTTCACGGATGCCTTGGCCCGGTCCCAAATCTGCCCCTAGCTTACTCAGGACTGCACTGCACCAGCAGTCGCATCCGCTGTCACACGAGTCACGACCGGCGTTGAGCCACTTCAGGCTCCGATCGAGGATATTCCACGCGTACAGGCAAAATTCACACATGAGCCCTTCTCTCTCCCTTCCTATACCCTCGCAGTAATAAACAGCCGCCTTCGCTCCCCCGCAGCCCGCTCGACGATTGACATTGACAAAGATCTACTGAGCAAGGGCCCTGACCAACCTCCGCATCCTCCTCTACCATGCCGTCGATACTCAACGAGGACGACAAGGATACTGTCAAGCGGTTTGTCCCCAAGCAGTCCAACAAGATCCAGGCGGTCGGAGTCGCTAGGCTCTACGTCGCATACCCGAACCGATCAAAATGGACCTATTCGGGGCTTCAAGGTGCCATCGTGCTGGCCAATGACCTGGTTGGCAATACGTATTGGCTTAAGATGGTGGACATTTCGGTACGTTGCCGGTCAACTCGCCACCTTTCGGGCAATGCCTCTCGCAAATCCCTCCATTGATGTAAATATGCACAAATACAATACTAAAATGCTTCTTCTGTACCAGCCCGCCAACCGTGGCGTCATTTGGGATCAGGAAATCTACGAGACCTGGCACTACCACCAAGACCGTACCTTCTTCCATACCTTTGAGCTTGAAGATTGCTTAGCAGGATTAAGTTTTGTTGACGAAAAGGAAGCCAAGCAGTTCAGGAAGAAGATGGATGAGCGGGAAAAAAACGCCAGCCGAGCTACGAAATCAACCCCCTTTGGAGGAGGCTCGCAACCCGTCCACAAGCACAGCTTGCTGGGCAGCTTTTTTGGTCATCGTCACTCGTCTGCCCCGTCGCCTACTGAATCAACGAGGCCCAGTCTACTGCCGCATCCGTTTCACCACCACTCGCCTTCGTCCTCACAAAGCATGGATGGCGGGATTGTGCCGTCGCAGTTTCCCTTACTAGATGCCTTTGATCCGTTGTGGAGGGAACATTTTGGACGGGATCTTACCGAAAAAGGTCTTACTGATGATTTCATCAAGGATAACCAAGAGTTCATTGTCGATTTCCTGCGAGAGGAGGAAGCCAAGTTGAATAAACCCTCACTCACGCCGCCGCCGCCAGCGGTCTCTGCGCCTACGAATGGAGGGGATTCAAAAGTTGCCAGGGCACCACCTCCTCCGCCGCCAGGTAGTGTCTCGTCATCATCCTCATCCACGAAACGAGGAGCGCCTCCACCTCCACCGGCCCCGAGGCGATCTGCTAAAGCTGATGGATCACCAAGAGAAGCAAGCCCTCCTCCTCCGCCATCTCCTCCCCGTCTCAGATTCAATGCTCCTCCGCCGTTGCCAGACGCAGGAAAATTCGCAAACGTCGAGCAGCCGAGGCGGAAGCCAATCTCAACACCAACGGCGTCAGTGCCGGGCCCTCTCCCGCCCCCTCGCCCGGCCAAGACACCCATCGAACCCGAGATCTCTAGCCACAAATTCCCTGTTCCTCCCGCCGTCCAACGCCTTCTTCCTCCGACTCCAAATCGTGGGCCGGTGCCGCCGCCGCCCCCCCCTCGATCAAATGACTCCCATTCAGCACCTCCCGCTCCTCCGCCATTACCTCCCAAGATACCACCAGCCAGCAGTGCTCCGCCGCCTCTGCCACCATCGAGCTCGAGACCTATGCCTCCTCCCGCCGCTGTCAGCATCCATCCGCCTCCCCCACCATTGCCCACGTCGAATGCTCCTCCGCCCCTGCCCTCATCGAGCGCCCCTCCGCCTCCCCCGTTACCCTCATCGAATGCTCCTCCTCCTCCACCCATGCCATTCAGCGGTCCGGCAGCTCCTCCGCCTCCTCCTCCGCCTCCTATGCCATCTTCAAGCGGAGCACCTCCTCCTCCGCCTCCCCCCCCACCTAATCGCGACTCAGGCTACTCCTCTGGTGTCCCAGTCGGCGCCCCGGCAGCAGCTGACAAGGGTCGAGCCGCCATGCTGGGCGATATCCAAAAGGCAGGAGGTATCGGGTCCCTCAAGAAAGTTGACAAGACTCAAATCCGGGACAGATCCGCCGCACAGGTCGGCGGAGGCGGTGACTCGGGAAGCGCCGGTTCACCAGCTGCTGCTGGCGCCGCTGCTGGTGGAGGCGGCATGGCGGACGCCTTGGCTGCAGCGTTGAAGAAGAGAAAGGATAAAGTTTCCAAGAGTGGTATGTTGAGAATTCTTCTACACGTGCTATATATACCAGTGTACTAACTGTCTAATAGATGACGAAGGTGATGATGATGACTGGGATTAATTAATACCACGACAAGCATCGTTCATCCTGACACTACAACACAAGTTATGTGGACATGGAAGAGGTGGTATGCCACGACTAGTGTTTGTGTTGATGCAAATTTGGCAGGTCTTTTTCGAAGAGTAGCTCGCATGGATAGGAGTCGTTGAGAAAAGCATTCATTCTACCATGAACTTTGTCGGCACGCTGTCGGCGTTTCCACATAGCAACTCAAAAAAGAAAAAAAAAGAAAAGTTGGGGAAAAAATCCACAAAATTAATATGAACATGCATGGCATTAGCTTTTGTGAAATCCATCAAGTTGGCATAATTTCTTGGTCCATCATGCAAGGTTGCTACTGACGGGCCGCCACAGACGGTAAAAACGGAATAACATGATGCTCGTATTCATAAGTAACTGTGAAGAAGACAACAAAGTTGAAGATTGACAAAAGGACCTTTCAAGAAACATGACGAATGGACGCGCCGTGACGTCTCTCCCACCACGGCGGTCCCCAAACCTCCACTCCTGCTATAGAACTGTCGCGGGACCCAAGGGAGACCAAAAATTGATAAAAGGGGCAGAGCCAATGCTAAGATGGAGTACCATTACAGAACAAAACACTCTCTTCATTTTTTCGCCTCCAGAGGGGTTGAGAGAGAAGACAGCGTTAATGGATGTGCATGCGTGTGCAGCTCCCAGCCGGCCCGGCGTAGGCGCAGCACGAGGTGGCGGAAGAGTTAACCTGGAAGAAGAAGACTCGAGGCATGGAGTCAAACAGCGCACAGGCGCAAGCCAAGACGGCAAAGAGGATGCGGACAGGGTGCACGGAAAAGTGACAAAAGGCAAGTAAAGTGTGGTCAGCCCAGTTTCTGTTTCTCTTCTCTTTGTTGCTTCTTTGGGCTAGAGTTGCAGTCGAGGGGATGAAGCGCGGGTGGCGAACCAGAACTCTGCGGTCTTGCCGACGGGGAGATGAGTACGGCAAGATGACGACAAATGGGGACTTAGATGTCATCAATGTCGACCTCCTTCTTCTTATCATCCTCGGAATCCTCTTCTGAGTCTGCGTCGCCGAACTCAAAGTAGGCCTCGCCGTCCTCTCCTTGACCGAAAGTATCGGTCTCGTTGATCTTGGCGTGCTCGGGCAGCTCGCCATATGATTTCAAAGAGCGAGCCTCGTCGGCAGTGTACTTGAGAATCACGTCGCCTTTGTTGTCCTGAAAGTCACGCAAAGAGAGGAGGATGATGTCACCCTGGTTAATCCAGACCTTTTTGCGCATTTTGCCACGGATCTGCAAGAAAGAGAAAAAAATTAGCCAAGTGTATTAGTGGAGTGGGAAAAAATAGAGTAAAATTGGTGCTTGTGGCCAAAATTCTGGCCCTGAATGCACAGCTCGTGATCCGTATACGATATTTCATCAGGAACAACCACATCAGTGGATGTCATGATGTTGAAATCAACATCACAGAGTGATCCAGGTTCAAAGGTGGCGCCGTAAATGTGAAACAGCTGAGAGGCAGGGCCTTGGGCCCGAGGAGGACTGATGAGCGGGAGGGGTGTTGGGTGCCTTGTTACATACGTTGGCGAGACGCTTGCTGCCGTCGAAGCAAAGGGCCTCGAGTCGTCCGTTGCCCAGCATCTTGATGACCTGGGCGTATTCCTGGCCGTCCTCCTTGAAGGTCAACTCTCGGCGCTGGTCGTCGTTCTCCTTGGTACCTCTTCTGCGGTTCTTGCCGCCCTATTATTTGCAATACTGGTCAGAGAGACATGTTTTGGCGGTCATGACCCGTCGTGAGGCACACCATGGCGGGGGCGGGGCAAACCCAGCGCAGCCGGCCGCAGTGATTTTGTGTCGACGCACCTTTCCCTTGTTCTTAGGCATATTTGACTGTGGTAGCGGCGATGCGCGTTGCGATGGAGATAATGATGTCGACTGGGACGGAGTCTGCGGACACGGAGGAGCGGGGGTTGTTGGGGGCAGGGCAGGGTTGTGGACGCGATGCTGGTTGCTCGGAAGGTGTGAGGTCTGTGGCAGCGGTGTTGAGGAAGGAACGGTGTTGTTTATGAAGTAAGTGGGCAGTTTGAGGACCGGACCAGGCACTCTAGGAATAAGTCCTATGGAGTACCCAACTGCTCCGTACGTACGGGCGGGCGCTTGTGTGCTGTGGGGATTTTTTTGATTTTTTTGATTTTTTTGATTTTTTTTTTTCGATTTTTGATTGATGGTTTTATTCTTTATTTTTTCATTTTATTCGCTCACGCATCCTTCGGCTCAGGTTACAGACGCTGAGCTTGGATCGCTCCTTCCCAATCATCTTGGCTCGAGCCGTACGTCCACCTGCAACGCCGGCCGGGCTCCCAACTTTAGAAGTGATTCATTTTCGCCATGCGGCGTTGGGCCCTGTGTGTGCGCCTGCGATGACTCAATGTGGGCTCAGGCGCTGCTGGCTTGTCCGCGGGCAGTCGGCGACATGCCATTGTTACTGATGGTTGATAGTACATGACTTCTATTGCTCGATGCGCGCCAAGTTTTTTCCATGGCAACCCAAGTTTCGTGCTAGCTAGCACAGCACCGCCTCGCCAAACGTTCCTGCCGGCGGCGCTTACATAAGCGACCCCGCTGAGCTTCCGCGGCGCTTATCACAGTCAGTGCCTGACGTGCGGCAGCCAGTCACACTAGTGTGGGCCCGGCCTGGTTGGCTGGCGCCGTCGTCCTCTCACACACGATATCAAATCTCCAGTTCTCAACTACATTCTTTTTTCTGTCCCAGCCAGTCTTTGCCGGCCACGACCTTGCCGATTCCCAGCCCCTCCAACACCCGGCTTCGAGCCCCTGGCCTCCGAAGCGGCAAAGATGACACTAGCCGCCGGGTTTCAGCTTCAATTCATATGGCGATAGCGACAGCTCTCGTGCGACCTCTGGTCCCACGCTCCCCTCTTCTCAGGAGCTCATATCTGTCGTGGTCCTCGACATCAGCGCAGCGTCCGGCCTCCAGCGCAGTGCGGCCGCCGAGCCCCAAGCGCCAGGCCCGCAAGCCCAAGCCCATCAAAAGATTCGTACCCGACGAGGTCAAGAAATTCGTCAAGCCCGACGGCAAGCTCCTGACCACGCCCCAAAACCGAGACTTCCTCCTCCAACACGGCCTCGAGCCCGACAATGGCCGCATGACGCTCCTCCACGGAGGCCCCGAGCTGTCCAGGGCAGCTTCGGATTTCAGCGCCATGCTGGCCTACAGTCCGCGTCACATCATCCACCCGTTCGACCTGCGCTATTTCGAGCCTCGCGGTCACCCTCTGGCGCCAATGAAGCGGGCCAAGTATGCTCACAAAACACGACACGAGCCAATGTGGATCATGGTCAGCTGTGCCGGAAACGCGTCCGCCGTAGTGCGCACGCTTACCCGCCGCCGACTGACGCGGTGCATATATGAAGCTCTCCACGGGCTTGGATATCGGGCCGGGTCTCGAAACGGCGAGGTCAGCAAAGTCTGGGGAACTCTTTGGGTCGTGGTACATGACCCCGTCAAGGCGGCAACGCAGTCGCCGGAGCGGTTCGGTCGTGTTGTAGCTGATGCCCTGGTCAAAAACTGCAGGACATGAAGGCGGTATTGTACAACCCGTGTTTGAGGCTTTCAGGGACGCACCGACAGCATGGGTCGTATTGGTATTTGGCCGAGGTCATCCATGGGTAGGTAATTGCTTCGACCTCAACACTTTGGGAATTGAAAGAGGCCGCAGACAGTCTCGTTGTACTTGTTGGATCGAACAGCAAAATTTATTGCTATGCAGACCGAGCTTTCACGTATACTAGTCAATACCATGCCACGACCTGCAACTGACCAGCCTATTTATTAATCGGTCCATCCATCCCTCTGTTATGCGAAATCCCGATTCACATGGATGCCTCGTGCCTGTACGCGTGGGTCCGAGCTCGCTAGACAGACATGCTTTTTTTCTCTTTTTCCTTTTTTCCTTTTTGCACAACGCAAGATACGAACAAGGCCAAGGGAACGAACCCCGATGCTTCGCTACAAAGCTCTGCCGCAATCAGCTCCAATCCTCTGGCCACCCGTTCGATAGACCCTGCTTCCACCCACTCCTCCTTGGCGTGAAGCCCTTCCCCCGCTGGGCCCCAGACGAGGACGGGAATCTCTTTGCCAGCCAGCAGGGCGCAATCAGTCCAGTATGGGCCCTTCCGGAATTCAGTCCTTCTCCCCAGTACTTTACTGGTGACTTCGCCCACGAGAGCCGCAAAGGGGTGCCCGGGTTCAATATTGAACGGGGCCCCGGCACCGGTCACCCGCAAGTCGTACCTGAAGTCCTCGACCGACTCGGTGAGACTGTCGAGAAAATCCCGGACCTCTCGTCTAACCGAATCGACAGACTCGCCTGCCACGGTTCGACGCTCCACCACCACGGTGCACAATGCCGGGTACGAAGACTCGACCAAAAAGTAACCCGCCCTCGTAATGGCATCTACACCGACCGTCGGCCGTGATCCGTGCGACGCCCGGCCGTGAATATCGACCCCGAGCCTAACGAATCCCTTGTGGCGCGGCGTGGATCATGTCCTCGCCAGTCGGCTCGCTGACAACGGCGCCGTCTGCTCTCCAGCAGGCTTCGAGAACCTGCTCTGTGCCGATGCCGCTTGCTTCCTCGCCGGCCACGCCAGCGACCACGACGTCGCCCCGGAGGGCCCGACCCTTGGACGCTGCCAGGGCAGACATGGCAGTAGCGATTCCGCACTTCATGTCATGGGCTCCGCGCCCGTAGAGCTTCCCGTCCTTGATCTCCCCGCCTAGAGGGTCGTCGCCGTAGCCTAGCGTCGCAACTGTGTCGATGTGCCCGTTGAACATTAAATCCTTGCCTCCGCCTAGGCCCCGAACAACGCCGACGATGGACGGCCGCCCCTTGTCTGACTCGATCCAGTGAGTCTCAATGTCGCGGTGCTCGAGCCAGGAGCCGATGTAACGGGCAATCTCGGCCTCGCCCGGGCCAGGAACCGACCCCAACGCTGGACTGGAGGAGTCGATGCTGACCAGGGCCTGGGTCAAGGAGACGGCATCGTCCGAGGAGACATCGACGGGGGTACGATAGCTTCTCGCTCCCTCTGTGCAGAGGAGAACCACGACAGAATCTTGCCCCAGGCCCAAGGCAGCCACGTCAGCTTGTGTAAGGCGTCTGAGAGCGGCAAGAGGTGAAGCGCCGCACGGCCCTGCTGATATGTCTAGAGATTTGAGATGTTGAGACGCCTCGTGCGCCTCGTAATCGGACACGGTCAAGCTGGCATCCACGCCAGATTTGAGCAATGGCCACGCAACGGGCGACAAGGTGGCACAGTCCAGGCCAGCCATGATGGTGGAATATGTCTGAACACGAACAGACCTGTTGGCGCGTAAGCTCTTGTACAAGCATGCTGCGGTGTCAGGTTCAACCGCCATGACGGCCGTCTTGCAGGCCTTTCCTTTGTAATGCGAGACGACGGCTTGTGCGAGCGAGCCTACACCGACAGGAGAAATGACCAGATCCGCTCGAGTGCCGTTGAGCTGGCTGTCGATCTCTCGCAACATGGCCATGTACCCGTCCACGATCCACTGCGTATGGGCAGCCATTAGAGGATGGCGGCTAGAATGCACGACGCCAGGGGCGACATCTCACCTGTGGAACCTCATCGTAGTCGTCAAAGGAAAAGTCTTGCACGAGGACGCCGCCCCTGGCGGCGCAGGCCTCTCGAGCAGCGCCCATGGCGTCATCGTAGGTACCGGCATTGACGACGACGACGGCGCCCTCTTCTTTCAATCGTTTGATCGTCTCTGGGGGCATGTCCGAAGGGACATGAATTTCCGCAGGCACAGCCAAGATGGACGCCATCCTGGCCACGGCTCTGCCATGATTACCCTCGCTCGCTGCATAAAGTGGAACGGGCAAGCGAGCAAGAGCACCTCTCACGGCCGTTAAGTCTGCATCCAGGGGGAGGTCAAGTTTTTGGGCAATGGCGCGAAAGGTCCCCCATGAGGCACCGAGGATCTTGAAAGACGGCAGACCGAATCTGGTGCTCTCGTCCTTGAGATAGACGGCCTTGATACCGAGTTCCCGGGCAACATGGTCAAGTCGCACGAGCCTGGTGCAGCCGCCTGGGAACTGGCCGTGGAATTTGTCAACAAGCCTCTCGTCGTCAACCGACATGGAACCATCGGCATGCCACGTCGCAGCAGCCGGGTTAAGCTGCATAGCCCTTCGAGACGAGGCCATGCCGGCGGCTTGGGAGGGGGGGGGGGGGGGATTGCCTAGATTTTGCGGCAGCTTACAGCGGAGAACTGCCCTCCCTGGTGGGAGCAAAAACGCGCAATGCTCCTGGCGAGAAGCACAATGATATTTGATCATCACTTGGAGGGAGCATTTTGCTGTCAGGTGTTTCATTTTACAGTTTGCGGGCGCCTTCTCCGCACAGATTCCGAACGCCTTCCCGCCGTTATGTTATTTTGCGGGCCAGAGGTTGCTCCTCTAGTTCCAATTCGTTGCGAGGAAGACGAAATCTGGCTTCCGGGATTGAAAGCCGCTATTGTCCATATAGGTTCCGGGCCTCAATGGGCTCAACTGACCAGGGACCGAAACCAAGCAACCAGGCGCGTTGAAGCTGTGGAAGATGAGAACATGTCAACTGCCTAGGCGGATGTTTGGATTGTGGTACGGAGCACCCGGCGTCAACCACTGAGTTGCCGGGTTCAAGCTGCGTGGTCTGGTGTCCTTGGTCCTCGCGTTGAAATAGAACCGTCCGGTCGCGATGATCGTCCTTGGCCGACGCCACCAAGCTTGCAGGACTGGGTCTTCTCCAAAAGCCACCGCTTCAAATGTTGCCTCGTACTTGCCATTATTATTAGTAATGGGACCAGTCTGTCATCTCCCCTTCTCGATTCAACCCGACGACGGCTTGACATTACTTGTCTGCTTGCAGACAACAGACGTTCCTATGCTGGCCCGCGCCATTCAATCGTTGCCGTGTAGCCCGTCAAATATCCCGCCTGAACCGCTGCCTGTTCGTCTGGGGCGTAGGAGCAATGTCAGCCCACGGTGATTTCTTCACGGGAGGCGAGGCCGACCCGAGCGTCTCAACCTCGACCGGCTTGGAGTCGCCCCAAGGAATCTCTGGAACCGATGCGACTCCCGGTCTACCTGCCGAGCTGGACTGGTCCGAATACCTCTTGTTCGGGGCCGATACAGGTAGCCAACATGTCGTCTCTCCGCGGTTCGCTTGGGCGATGCCCGACTTTGATGCCCAGGTCACGAGTCTCACGTTCTCGCCTCCGACTGCGCATCGTAGCCGTGCCCCCCCTTGCTCCTCTATCTCTGCTCAATATCAATGGCCTGAGTTGGAGCCGGCGACGTATCAAGAAGCCATGGACGAGTTTTTTGCCAAGAATGGAGCTTGGCGGCCCGCAGAGCCGTGCAATCATTGCAAGCGTCTGCGTTTACAATGTTTCATACTGAACACTACAGAAGCCAATCCCAATCCCGTCGATTCTTGTTCTAGTTGCGTTGCACTTTTCAGAATTTGCAGTCTAGCGGAGAGGGCGAAGCGCGGGCACTCGCAGTTTGAGACTTCACGTCCAGTCATTGGGCACTTGCACGGAGTCAACGAGGAGGAGAAACGAGACAACGAGGAGCAGGAGAAGAAGCAGCAACCGACTTGGCGTCAGACTCCCCGGCCCGTTACCGGCTCGTCGTCTGCCATGGCCATGGCACCTCTACCCTCGGTCACCAGCAAGAGGTCTAGCTCTCGTTCAGTCCGCAAGACACAGGTCCTGAGGGACTGGTTTGCCCTCAACATTCAAGACCCGTATCCGACGGATGACGAAAAGACGGTGCTGGCCGAGAGGTCAGGTCTGAGCAGGACCCAAGTCGTCAACTGGTTCACCAACGCCAGAAGACGCCATCGGTCGTCTACGCGGCCAGTAGCCAACAAGAGGACTCTTGGCGCCGCGTCGCCCATGCCACGCTCTCCAATGTCAACCATGACTCCGTTCGAGAGGTGGAGGCACTCACCGCCAGATGGTGAAGCAGTTTCGGAAGCGGCTATTCAGGAGGCCATCGGCTCCAACTTGGGCGTTGGCCGTGGAGCTGGAGTACCAGGCGATGCCGATGAGCTGGGGACCTCGGCGAGCACCGATTCAAACTTGGGTCTGCACACAGCGTTGCGTGGCGCGTCGGATGGTTCTTTCTCCAACAGCTCGCGCGCATCTGCTCATACTACTAGTGACGCCGTCGTCCTGTCCGAACGGAGCTCGGAAGACGGCGCGCACCCTGCGTGGGTGAAGTCGGCGCCGGCGAGGTGGAAACGGTCAAAGGTCCGTTGTACCTTTGTATGCAGCTACTGCTCGCGCAGTTTCAACAAGAAATATGACGGGCTTCGACATGAGCGGACGGTTCACGGCCCCGGCGGCACCTCGTGGGTGTGTGCCATTCCATTACCGCCCGAGCAGCCTTGGGTCGTGTGGAGACTCGGCCAGACACAGGCAGAGTGCGTCCTCTGCGGACAAGCAGCGCCGACGGAGGAGCATTTCCAGTCGCACGAATTTGAATCGTGTGCGCAGCGTGCGGTCCAGGATCGGAGCTTCAACAGGAAGGACCACATGTGGCAGCACCTTTACAAGTTTCACGGGTGTCGGAAGTGGCAAGGTTGGAACCCGGACATGGATCTGCTGCGGGACAGAGCCGAGGAGAAGAGGCCTAGTTGATGCGAGAAGATGTGGGCGAGCGGGCAAGCAGGCGATTACTATTAGCGACGTGTCTTTGTTGTCTCGTCGTGGCCAGCATGTTCAAGTCGAGCAACCGGGACAGGGAGCCAAGCCAAGCCAAGAGTGCCAGGGGTTCCTTGACGAGGGCTCGGCTATGCAAGCACGTTTGTTGGACGACGACGTGTTCGTGTCCCTGGGTTGCCAAAGGCAAGTCCCGTCTCTGACGAGAACCTTGTCGACGGACGCCAAGGTTCCCGAGGATGTAGCGGCCCGGCAGTGATTTTGGAACGGCGGCACGGCAGAGAAGCCGTCTGGTCCTCAGAACAGGGGCGACTTCCGGCTGTAGGTGCGGTCTCGGGGCGTGCTTGGACGCAGCGGATGTTGACATGAGATTTATCACGGGCGGCATCGGCAGCGGAGCCACGAACGAAGGTCAGCAAGCAAGAATCAAGGGACATGGACGAGTTTTACTGGGAACACGGATGCCAGTCGTAATACGTTCTACGTACCCTGTGCATGTACGCAGCTCCCTTCCGAGTGCTCGGTATCGGCCGGAAATGAAGGAAAAGAAACGAAAAGAAAAAAAAGCCATGGGACAGTCTTGGCCGCCACGGTCGTTCCGTCTTCTGCCAGGGCGAGCGTTGTCGGCGTCGCAGCGAAGAAGCGAAGACAGTCTCATCGGGACGCTTTTACGTGATGGAAGGCAAGAGACAGGGCAGGTGGGACGTGTATCTCTTGCTTTGGGCCAGAGAGGGCGCTTTTGATTGGTCTGATACTGCATTGTCTGCTATAGTATGTACATATACGGGTTAATGCCGCGACGAGCATGTATTTGCTACCTGCACTCGGGCCTATTCAACCGCAGAACTACATGGTATTGGTGTCCGGCACGCCGCCTTGCAATGATGGACGCGCACGCTGCATGCGTGGATCGTCTGCTTGGCCGTACATACTTAGTTACACGTTGCACCTCATGCAGGGACTCGATCCCGCCTGGGAGCGCAACCGCCGCGCAAATGCCGCTCTGCTTTCCGTTGCCGCCGATGACTTGGGCAGCCAGTATAAAAAGCAGCGCCGCCCACCAAGTCACATGCACGAGTGGAAGCGTATCTCGTCACAACTACCCATATCCATACTCACACTCGTACTCGTACCCGTACTCGTACACATACTCATACTCTATACTTGCTTGCTCCAACGTCATCACGATGAAGCTCCTGGCGGCCTGGGCTGTCGTCGGAACCGCCGTGGCCCTGGTGGCGGTGGCTCCTCGTTCAGACGCCGACCCTGGGACTCCAGATGTAAGGAGGCATTGGCCCCTCGGGAATTACTTGTCGGCCTAAACGTACATCTCTGACTGTTTTTGACCTCGAAAGGTTCCCTGCAAAGACAACAAGTGCCAAATCCAAAGCCATGACCAAGAAGCAATCGACGGAAGCCCAAGCCCGGATGGGATACCCGAGGTCGACCCTCGTACGTGTTAATAAAGACGAGACAAGGCTAGATAACGTTGCTAACATGTTATGGCTTGAAGCTGAGGAATTTGGAGTGTACGATCCAATTGGAGCATGGGATGGGTCAAGTACGTATGAATCCAGGCGAGAGAGAAGGCTGGATACTAATGTGCTATAATTTTTACGAAAAGACTATCAAGATATTCTAGATAACATAGGTGTGTACTAGTAAAGACGAGAGAAGGCTACGTGCTAATATAATTTCAACCCAGCGAGACAGGAAGAGATAGAAGAGAAGGAAAACGGACGTAAAGGTACGTGTGCATTAAAGAATAGAGATAAGACTAGATACTAACATATTACAAAGAACTCGGGATACTTCTTGACGCAGACAGTACGTTATAATAAAGACGCGAAAAGGCTAGATGGTAACAAGTTGTCATAGAAAATGTTGAAAAAATAAAAAAACTTGAGGAAGAACACAAGATAACTGCCGAAGGTACAAGTCAAAAAAGATAAGAGAGAAGGCTAAATACTAATATTTCGATAAGATATCAATAGGGCATATAGGAGGAGTCTCTCTATCCTGGCTCCTTACAAGAGTACGTATTAATAAAGACGAGAGAAATCTAGACTAACAAGTCTTGATAGAATTCAAGATAGATGAAAAGATGGATGAAAAGATTAAAAGGCTAGCTGAGAAAAAAGGTAAATACCAGAGAGCTATGTATTGAAAAGACAAGAGGGGAGGCTAAATACTAACACGTTTTAATAGACAAGGACATAGAGAAGGTTTTCAACGAGACAAGTTCCGTCATGACCTTTAAAAGTATGTGTAGACAAAAGAGGAGAGAAGGCTAAATACTAACAAATTGTGATAGCATTTTACCTTGCTATAAGTGCTTTGTCTATTTTTCGCAATTACGGTCCAGGTATGTGTTGACAAAGACAAAAAGGAAGGCTATACTAACGATTTATGACAAAAATCCAGAAGAGAAGATACACCGTCTCCTTGAATTGCTAGAGGAACAAAATCCTCAAGGTATGCATGCATCAAGGACGAAAGACAAGGCAAGATGCTAACATGTCATGATGTTCAAACTTGGCAGCAAAAAAAGAGAGTACGTGCTAATAAAGGGGCGAGAAGGCTAGATACAACTATGCTTGACCTGGCTAATACTTTGCTGTCTTTAGGAGAGGAGCGCTCAGCTCCAAGTAAATATTTACAAAGACAAAAGATAAGGCTAAATATCTAACCTCGCTAATTTAGTTTCTTTCGGAAACAAAGACCCAACTCCAGAAGGTATGTATTTATATAGACGACAGAAGGCTAAATGCTAATTTATTACAATTTTAGAACCTACAGATAACATAGGGGCTCCATTAAGTACGCATCAGTGAAGGCGAGAGAGAAGGCTAGACACTAACATGTAGTTTTAACTAAAACTGAAGATGGGCCGAGCAAAGAGAGTACGTATCAATAAGGACAAGAGACGAGGCTTGACGCTAACATTTTCTAACCAAGATAAAGACAGAGAAAGAGAAAGAGGTACGTATTAACAAGGACAAGAGATGAGGCTAGACGCTAACATTTTCCAACTAAAATAAAGTTAGAGAAAGAGGTACGTATTAACAAGGCCAAGAGAGAAAGCTAGGCTCTAACAAATAATAGTGTCTTCTGCAATGTTCGAAATATCAAAAGAAATCTTTCTTCCAATAGACAATAGCACGTATTAGCAAATACTACGAGAGAGCAGGCTACATACTAATGCACCATGACAGAGAGTGTCAAAGTAGTTCGGTTACTTGTGCAAAAGTTCTTGTTGGGTTCCGAGGGTATGTATCATCAAAGACGAGAGAGAAGGCTAGGCTAGGTGCTGACATGGCACTGTAGAAGACAGGTCTAAAGCGAAAGAAGTAATTGGAACATCAAAGAATAGAGACGCTCAACGTACGTATCGATAAAGACGAGAGAGAAGGCCAGATGCTGACGCACCCCAATAGTTGCCCCACAAGCACTTACGTTCCTGAAAAGTGTAAAAATATCTAACAAGTGTATGTATTGGCCAGAAGGAGAGAGAGGGCCGAATACTGACATACTGTGATGGGTGCAGTTGCACTACTCAAGTTGCTTGTAAAAGAGCAGATATTAACTAAAACAAGTATGTATTTGCAGACGAGAGAAAAGGCCAGATGCTAACAAAACGTGACAGATATACATGAACTGTATGAGATAATAGCAAAAGTCATATCTCTGAGCGAACATCAAGGCAAATATATATGGAAAAGGAGTGAACTAAGGAAAGCGGTTTTGAAGAACTTTGTGGAGATCTTTAAGGAGGTTAAAGAGAGTATGTACTAACAAGGACGAGAGAGAAAAGGCCAGATGCTAACGAGTTGTGATAGAAACGGAGACAGCATTTAAGGTGGTTGACATAGTTATAGAGCTTGTCAAGGAAATAGGCATGTATTGATACAGACGAGAGAAGGCCAGATGCTAACAAGTTGTGATAGAAACGGAGACAGCATCTAAAACGAAGCCAGCATTCAAGGTGATTGACATAGCTATAGAGCTTGTCAAGGAGATAGGCATGTATTGATACAGACGAGAGAAGGCTAGACTACATCAGACCCAGCTAACACTTTATATATAGACCCTTCATTCCTAGAAGAGGGTATGTATAAACAAAGACGAAGGAGAAGGCCAGACACTAACATGTAATTTCAACTTGAAAATACTAGGAGAGAGTACGTATTGATAAAAGACGAGAGAATGCTTGATGATGCTGACATGTGGGCTTGATGATGCTGACATGGGATGATAGGTTCCTATCCAAACGATGACAACTCGTCGGCTGCAGCTTCCCCAAGCCTTGGGCGGTCGTAAGGTTCCGACCTCGGAGGGTATGTGCCAACAAAGACGAGACATGTCGACGAGGCTGGCTGGCTGCATGGACACTCACTGACATGATGGTAGATGTCCACGACAGCTGAGATTTGACTCGCCCTGCACGCCGGTCCAGCAGTGGAAGTGGAAGCGTCTACGGTCGCGAAAAGATGATGATGGATGGATGGATGGATGGTACAGCGTGAGGCGGCAGAGCACCGTCACGCACACGCTCGTCTCACGCCCGGCTCGCACACTGCTTCAAGTTACGACACACGCTCGTTACAACACACACACACACACACACACTCACGCTCGTTAATCAAAGCTCCAAGCTCTAGCTAGAACAGAGGTCCTCAATACATGACATTGTGACCCGCGCGTCCGTCCATCTGTGCCGTGCCTTGCCCGCTTGCGTGCGAGGAAAAAGAAGCCCACATCATAATGAGGTACATCGCGTTGGAGGGCTGCCTCCGTCATGATCAATCGCCCGGCCGGGGCCCCAAGTCGGCTTTTCTTCCCAAGTTCTCTTGGTCCGACCGTCCCCAGCAGGTCCAGGCACGTAGGGACAGACGTATTCGTACTTTACTGCAATGTACCCGTCACTCACAACACGGCATCTTGTACCAAAACTCGACGTTGCTTCCGAGCAACAAAAAGATCCATCTACACATTACTCTGAAGAGAGGAAGACAAAAAAAAGGCCGTCGACATGACAGTGACAGACAAGGTGAGCACGATTGTCCCCCAACCTGCAGCCGTTGCGCTGTCTCCAAGTCTTCAACGCCGGTAGCAAGTCACACAAAACTGAAACCCAGCAGACACCTCACATGGCTCTCCTCAGCTTGCTTTTATACTTCTTGATGAGATAGTAGTATTGTTGCATATCCACCGCCTTTGTCGGCCCCCTGTCGCCCTCAAAGTTGCCCTTTCCGTGCCCGCTGAAATGGACTTTCCAGGCTGAGCAAAGGTTAGCTGGCACCTTGGACATACGCATACGCATACTTTGACAAGTGTCGCGCCGGGCACAATTCAACTTACTGTTGGCATACGGACTCAGGTACGACCAGCTATCGTTGAGATAGAGCTTGTCACTGCCCACGCGGATCGTCTTGACTTGGCCCATCGCTCCCGGCGCCGGACGGAGCTGCTTGAGGCCCGCTGAAAGCTTCACCAGTCCGACAACGAAGCCAAGTGCAACCTCCTCACCGAAACCCGCGTCGCTGCCGTAGTCGGAACATCTGAGAGCATCTACCTGACGCTTTGCATCAAACACGTCGGGCTTCGAAATTTCTGATGGGTCACGCCCAGCCTTCCCCTACAAGGAATGCCATCAGAGCGTCGTTCTTCCACAATCGCCAAAAGGGGCGCAAAGGGGCGCTCAGGTAGGTTCGATGCGACGGTCAACTTACAAGCATACTTATGACTATATTTCCAGGTTGAATCGACTTGCCCTCCAGCTCACACGGCTGCGTTGCCATGTGATGGCTGCGTCGTGAGCTTGTGAGACGTTGAGCCTCGACCACGTAGCCACGGAGGGAGCCATCATCAGCTTTTTGAGCATAGTCCTGCACGTCAGCCCACAGGGATGCGTTCTCGGGGAGCAGAAAGAATCCCATGACTTCGGAAAACTGCAAGGACATGAGTACTTGAGCCAGAGTTGATGCGCCAAATGATGGCCAAAAGAGAGAGAGAGAGAGAGAAAACTTACCGCATTGACTGGATGCCCAACGCAGCCAACGGCCGTCAGCCATAGACTGTCGACAACTCTCTCGGCCGAATTGCCCTGGGAGAGAAGCTCCTCGACGAGCTTCAGCCCACACGACCTCAAAGAACCGTCCTTGACGTAGGCCTTGCGGGTGAATTTACTCGTCAAGGCAGAGACGACGCCCAAGCCGAACCCCACCCCACGAGCGACTTCGTCGACTAGCTTACGACTTGATTCGATAATGACCTTCAAACTCTCTTGGGCATCACGACGACGGTTCCAGGCCTCGCCCGAGTCGCTGTTATCTGCCCAGACACGGACGTTGACCAGGTGTCGATAGAGCTCGGCTGTGCCGAGTGTACCGTTCGGGTTCTCGTCAGAGCGCAAGTCAAGGTAGAAGAGGTCAGCGAGTACCCGAGTCAACAGTGGAATGGCTATATCGCGCATCAGGTCAAGCTGATGAAGCCCTTCCCTCATCCTAAAGGTCTCCCTTTGCATCATCTGTGCACCGACGCCACCAATTAGCTCGCCCATGGCATGATACACGTCTGGGATACTGCCAATTGCCTTGTCGAAACTAGTCTCATGCCCAGAGCTGTGGGCTTCGTCGCCAGTCAACATGAACCAACTCCAATCCTTCTTTCCCGGAAGCAAGAAGCTGAAAGCTTTGAGCCAAGGTGCTGCAAACTGTTTGGGGCTGTCAAGGACTCGCCTAATGGAGGCGTGTGTGGATATCACGACAGCCGTTTCTGGCGGTTTTGGGTCGTCCAGAGTATACTGGTGCAGCGTTCCAAGCTCTTGGGCAATCGTTGCGTTTGCCTTCTTTGTATACATGGGTTGCATGACGGCTACCGAGTTGAACGGGAACCAGCCGGGAACACCTCGCTGTATGAGCTTATACAACATGGATCCCCCAAGAGTCTTGCTGTCCTGCTGTACTTCATTGTAACCCCAGCTTGTGAGGTTGGCCACCGTGTAGTCGATTGTGTTGAATCTGTCTGACCGTACCAGTGTGATGGCGTCAGACAGGATTGCCCGACCAACCGAGTAAGTCGGGCAGATGCCGCAACCAGGGTTGCGGACGGGCTTAATGTCCTCAATCATGAGGCCTGGATAGAGTTCTACCATGTCAGGATCCGCATACAGTTTCTCCAGAATCGTGGCAATCTCCTCGTTTGAGTTGATCTCGCTGAACTTGTCATATCGCTTTAGTCCAAAGAAGTCGCGAAACTCGTTCAAGGACGCGACCTGCCATTTGCGAGCCTGATTGATACCCAGGACCTCGACCACTTTTAGTGCCTTAGGAACCATACGGGCGCCAAATGCGCCAGCCGGGTCCTCCATGGCCTCTTTGAGAATGCGGACGAGGTCCTCGTCTCTGAACGTTCCGTCGGCCTGGCGCTCTAGCCCGTCAAATGTCCGAACACTAGGATCCTTGGGAATATTCTGTTCAAACGCTACCAAGGCCTGACCGAGCTCAACATGGCTCACATGACTCAAGTCGTCTGGTTTGCGACCTGGAAAGAGCTTAACAAGGAAATCATTAATCCAACGCTCGTCCTTTTTGGAGATGCAGGAGTGGAATCGGTATATCAGGTTGAACTCGACGCTGACCTGATTGCCAACACCGCGAGGCACACCCTCGCCATCATATTGATTACCTATCTCGATCCTAGGGTCTAGCGTCCAATCACTACTTGAGTGGTGGGTGTTGGTGATGGCTCGCAAGTAGTCATGTAGGGATATGTTGACGTACAGCCCGCCAACGATCAAACGAGCAGTGTTGAAGATGTCGTGGTCTTGTTTGGCAACAGCCCGAGCCTTGTCCTCGGGGCTAGCATTCGGCGGGCATGCCAGTGTAAAGCGTCCGTTCTCGTTGATTTTAAGCAAGATGTCGGCGACGTAGTTGTGGAAGCGACTGTAGAGTACCAACATGACATTGACACCAGCGGGCTGCCCTAACAGCCGTTTCTCGTGAAAGGTGTCGGGCTTGAGCTTGCCCTCCTTCATGGTACGGATTTCCAACTGATCCTTCAGTGACGAGCCGTACAGGGGCGCCAGATCAAGGTATGACGACGTGTCAGACACGTTCATGTCCGTGCGGTTGGTGCGAAAGATGTCGTGGATGATGATGGATGCGTGATAGAAGAGCATGGAGGAAATGCCGGCAGGGTTCTCGACAAAGTTGTCATCATCGCGAGCCATCAAAAGATCAAAGAGCAGACCCGCATCGGGCTTTACACCCTGCAGCCGCTTTAGCGGCCGGACAGACTTGGCATACGGCGTACCAGCCTTGCCCAAGTTAGGCTGAAGGACACTGTTAAAGCTGCCATCGGGTAGGCGGTATTGGTAGGTGCCGTCGGGGGGTTTCGGGATGCGTTCCCGTAGCACTATGTCGCTATCAGGGGCCTTGAACTCAATCGTCTCACAGGACTCAGTACTGTGTTTGTCGGCTGGCTCGCGGGGGTTGACGACCTCATACTCGACGTCACCCCCGACGTAGCTCAGTGGAGGATGCTGGAGATTACTCCACAGCCTGTCGATAAACTTGCTGGTGAGTTGAGTACGGAGTTTTGATGTGGAAGGTAGGCTGGTGAGTATGCTGATCAAGAGCTCGGTGGTGCTGTATTTGGTCAGAAAGAAGATTCGTTTTCCCGATTCCGAGGACTCTACATACCCCTTCTTGTCGTCTATAGGTTCTCCCTTGTGTAAGAGTTCTCTGATGAGTTCCATAATTTCCATTCTAGACGTCAGCTTCTGAACGCCAGCACCATGATTCCAGATATATTCGGCAACGTCGGCAGCATCCGCCATAAGATGAGATGATTCTTTATGGGGATCGCCGTAGGCCTCGCCAGCCTGAAACTTCTCTTCGAATGACATGTTTGTGTTTGAGAGGTGCATTGTATGGATGACAGAAATTTGTGATGCAATTCAACAACAGAACCATGACGAGTGAACGAGAGTCATCCGGGGCGGCAAATGGTTCATCTTATTCATACAATAAACTTATAGACTGGCAAGCATCTCAGCTGACCTATAGGAGCAACCCGTTATTTTTACATTCGCCGGCTGAGGAGTGGTGGTAAGAAATCAGCCTCATGCCACAGCCCCCTTTGTGTATGCAGCGGAGTATCGAGTACCTGCAGCCGTGAACAACCTTGGCGTCGGTTGCAGTAGCTAGTTGCGACAGTACTGGGGGCTGAGGATGCAACGAACCAGTTGGAAGCAAGGAACATTCTGCGGCGTTGCGCGCGGATCATTTGATAGCAAGTCGCCTGGGATTCGTTCAGGCAGAAAATCTGAATCCAGAGCACAGGGCGTACTGCATGGAGATGACGCCGGTGACATGTCGGAGGGAGAGAGCAGCTCATGGCGGAAGAGTCCGATTGGCACCATGAACAGCCGTCGGCTGACTCCGGGGGAAAACGTTGATGTTTCTGGTACATAAGGTTCTTCGGTGCATGATGCCGTGCTGCGTTACATCCACAGATTTGCTGGTAACCTCCCCCACTGTTTCATGCCGAGGAAAGTAATCACATCCCATCGGCCTGTTGAACACGGACCGCAACCTGATGAGATTCGGGCGTCAGTCTGACTCAGCATTCGTTCCTAACGCCCCTGACGCAATGCCATGTACGGAGTACTGGGAACGAGAGAAGATGCCGTGACACCGGATTCTCGGTATTGACTCAAAAAGCTCTCGGCGTGCCACATGGCCTGTTCAAGGATAGAGTTGCATGGGCGACCCGGATATATTTTCAGGACCGGCATGACACAGTCCAATGAGACTTGGAGGTGTCCGCACATCCGAGTTGTAGGGCGTGAAGCTCGGTGGCGTTTTTGGATCGTCCTTGTCATGACGGCAGCTGAGCAAGCAAAGTTGTCACGAAGAGCTATTCACGAGTCAATGGAACCTTGCAGTCACGATTTGAAGGATGGCCACCGCACCGGGCCAAGGCGTGCCCAGCCTAGACCCACGAATGAACGTGGCTTTGCAGAGTGATGTGATGAGCTGCAGCGGAGCGTATAAACACGAAAACAGGAGGAGCCCGGTGAGGCCTTGTAATTTTCGACCCGGCCTCCTGCCGAGACGCAAAAACAAGACGGTGGGAGCCAAGTCCACGATGATGAAGCTTGTGCAAGGAATGGATGTGAGGGGTCTCTCTGTTCATTTGCATGGAGCGTTGACAATCGAGGCCAATTGGCCCAGTGGGCCGCCCTCGTCGCTCCTTCCCACTCTGGAAACGTACCACCAGGCTTGAAGCCGCCAACTGCTGCTGAAGTGGAGCCATCAATCGATGGCGAATCACAAGCCAGCACTAGAGATTGCTTCTCGTCCCAACATCACATCACGCCTACGCTCTCGAGCACCACCAGTGCAAGACTTGGCGCAGCATCGACCTCGAAGCCACCGTCGATGTATCTCGATGTGTTTGCGTACGTGCCCGAGAAAAGATTTTTCCTCAACGTCGGCTCCGATAAACCACCAAACAGACTGGCCCGACTGCGCAGAAGCTCCTCGTTAAGGAGTGCCTAGGAGCACCACAGCCATCTCCAGAGACACAAGACACAATTTGCAAGTCCACGGACGTCGTCGGACGAACATGCTCGTCTCCCTCACCGTCGGCAAGGTCGACGCCGGCGTCACGGTTCTCTTGACGCCGGACAAACGGCTGGTACGCCAAAACAAATGCCCTCCCCAAACGGCGCGTTTCACCACGCGACTGGTTTCTGACACACGGATTGGACAGATCGAGTTCCCCTCCATCCTGCTGCCCCCGAACATTTCGTCTGGAAGCATCGTCGACATTGCCGTCTCCCAAAACACCGAAAAGGAATCACTCGAAGAGCAAAAGTTCCGCGACCTACAGGACCGCATATTCCAGTCCTTTGGCGCCTCCGAGCCCGCCAGCCCCGTCCTCCGCTGTCGCAATGCCACCCAGACATCAGTTGTCCTCGAGTGGGACCCGATTGAGCTCGCCACGGCCGATTTGATATCCCTCAGCCTGTACCGCAACGGCCAAAAGGCCGGGAACATCCCCCGACCGATGCAGATGCGCAGCACCAAAATCAGTGGGCTCGCCGTCGACACCGAGTACACGTTCCACCTGGTGCTGAGAACCACTGCAGGGACACGTACGAGCGAGAAGGTGGCTGTGCGCACGCACAAGATGACCGACTTGAGCGGCGTGACCATCACCACCGGCATTCTGCCTGGTGCTCTCAAGGAGAATCTGAGCAAGGCCGTGGAGCGTATTGGCGCCAAAATCGTCGACGGGGTACGCATCGACACCACACATTTTGTAACCACGGAGGGAAGAGGTACGGCTTGGGAAAAGGCCGTCGAGAACAACATCCCCGTGGTACGGCCAGAGTGGGTAGATGCGTGCGAGAAGAATGGCCGCATTCTAGGTGTCACCAAGTTCTATCTGGATGCAATGAGACCAGGGCCTCCTAGCGACGACACGACCTCACCTCCGCCGGTCCCTGTAAAAGACGAGGCCGCCGCCGCCGCCGCCGCCCCCGAGGCCACGCAGACGGAAGAGGCGACGAAGAATGGGGACGGGCCAGACGAGCCGGCGGCAGAAGCCCAAGAGGCGGCCGAGAAAGAAGCAGAGGGGGAGCCCGAGCAAAAGTCCAAGTCGCCGTCGCAAGTTGAAGGGCAAAAGATGAGACGCGAGGACATGGACGAGCAAAAAATTGCCCTGCGCCCAAGCGCCTCGAACCAGGAAGGCGACGCGGCCGAAGAGCACGGGGGTGACCAAGATGAAGGCAGAGACGCGGAGGGGAAGCCATCCGGCACACCGGACGGCGCGTCGTTTCAGGAAGTGGAATTGTAGGTCGCGCTCAGCCGGGGCAGAAAGCACAAAAGAAGAGGAAGAAGAAGAGGAAGAGGAAGAAGAGGACATTTCGTTGCAAAGAACAGACGGACATGTATATACGCTCTTAATGCCACCCGTTGCACTCACGATGCTAGGGCGGGACCTCGTCGCCCCTCCAGTCCAAACACTTGCCGCGCTGACCCAGATGCAGCCCATTCACGACGCTCAGCATCCTCTCCGCCGCGTACTCGGGGCTGAACAGCCGGTCCTGGGGGACCCTCGCCCAAAAGTCCCTGCTCAGCCCCGTCCTCACGGTGCCGGGGTGATAGGCGACGGCGACGGCCTTGTCGCCACTCCTCGCCCTGAGCATCACGTCCAGGCTCTTGGCGACGCTGTTCACCGCGGCCTTGCTGGCGCGGTACGAGAACCAGCCGCCGGACCTGTTGTCCGCGATGGACCCGAGCCTCGCGGACATGAAGACCCACGCGGCGCGCGCGGCGAGGCCATCCCCGTTCCCATGCGCATCCGCGTCCGCATCCGCATCCGCGTCCAGCCCCGGGGCGCGGAGGCGCGTGCCACGCCGCGGCAGAAACTCGGCAAAGTGCTTCATGAGCAGCAGCGGCCCCAGGACGTTGACGCGCAGCATGGCCAGCCCGGCGTCCGCGTCGACCTGCGCCGGGCTCTTCTCGGGCGTCAGGACCCCCGGCATCGCAAAGCCCAGGTGCAGGTGGTGGCGCGCGGGGGGGAACAGCCGCCGCGCCGCGCGGGACGCCGCCTCCACCGACGCCTCGTCCGTGACGTCGACGCGCACGACGCGCAGCCGCGACCCCGCCGAGCCCGCCGAGCCCGCCGGGCCGTCCGACTCCATGCCCTCGAGGATGGCGGCCTTTGTCGTCCCCGGCTCCGGGTGCCGCGTGGTCGCGAGCACGGGCAGCCGCGTCGTCCGTAGCAGGTGCCGCGTCAGGGCGAAGCCGATGCCGCGGCTTGACGGGCACACCAAGGCCCAGGGCGCGGACATGTTCGTCTTGGTGTCCGTCTTCGTCTTCGTCTTCGTCTTCGGCTGGGGTTTGAGTCGAGACTTGCTTGCCCTGGGTGACGGGTCCGGGCGTTGGCTGCACGTCAAGTACTTATTAGGCTCTCAGCTTCCCTTTGCCCCCCCTGGGCCCGCAGAATCCGAGAGGCGTACTACGTCATTGACTTGGTCTTTTTTGTTTTGTTTTGTTTTATTTTTTTTTGGGCCCTCTGACTACACTTTCTCTGGGTAGATAAATGGCGCCTGTCTTGCACGGTGCAACGGTGCATTCGTTCCAACCGCGACCATCGCACGGATTCAACCTCCGCGTGGCAGACCCGTCAAGTTGGCTCCATGTTTTAACTGACATGGTCTGGCACTATGGATAATTCGCATCTAATTCAAGCCCCGACTTCACCTCACAAGTTGCTAGGCAAGGAACCCTACATGACGCTCGCGGCTGCGAAATTCGCACCTCGCATCTCAACGGCTCTGTTGACACCTTCATTGGTGCATTGATTTATTCTTGCACGCCGTAGTCCTGAGCCTACAGGTCTCTGCCCTGATTGTGGAAATAGTCGCTGTGTTGCAAACATACTTTCTTGGCATCTGATAACCCCCAGCCAACCTCACATGGCATGAAACTGTCCGCCATTCGTCGCCACTGGCGATTGCGTCGTTTCCTGCCGCCGCCTTGCCTCTCCCGCCAACTCCCTCATCAGCGGCTCAATCGTCCCCAGCCCGCTTGCGTCGGCTATCCTGCTCGCACTGCCACTCCACCCATCGTCGTAGCATGGATAATCCGTCAGCCTTCCTAGCAGTCTGGCGTGCGATGAGCTAGGGCGCCGCGTCAGCCGCTTCGTCTCCGCAACCTGGCCATTTCTTGCCGTCATGCCCGAAGCCTTGCCATCCGAGGCCCAGTTCCCAATGTCCTCTATTGGTCCGTCCCTGGAAGATGCCACGGTCCTGTTCATGTGCTCCAAAACAGGCACAAGGGCTTGTAGCCAGACATCCCCATTGCGCTCCAATCTACTGAGCCGGCGCTCCATGTCTCGCAACCGATGCTCCCTGTGTGCTTCATACAAGCGCATCACCTCCTTGTCTGCCTGGGAAACCGCGCCGTTCTCATATGCCAACCCACCCGAGGCCAATTGTTGTGCTCTTGCTCTAGCCACTGCCATGGCATCGCGTGCCCTCCGCTCCTGTTCCCTGACAGCCTTCCATTCCCGTCGACGGGTCAGAGACGTGCGGTCTGACGCGCCACCTTGCTGTGACTGGGGCTCACGCGTGGACATCGACAGTGCGGCAGTGTTACTTGGTTTTTCGACAGCGGTTGGGGACACTCGTGTCTCCGAACTCTCCTCCCGAGACTCCATTGCAGGCGCGGTCTTTGGTCGGACAGGTTCGTCCTTTTCGTCGTCGACAGAGTACGGCTCGACATCCATCACCACCATGAGATCACTCAAGGCCAAGGTTAACGGGCTCGGCAGAGCAGTTGACGCCTCATCTGAAGCCTTTGCAGCTGGTCGCGCCGATGGCTGGGCAATTGATGGTCGCTGCATCGCATGGGAAGCATCTTTTTGCTGCTGAGCTTTCACTTTTACTTTCCACATGGCCGCCTCAATGTCGCGTCGCTTCTTCTCTCTGACTTTATCTTTTCTGCTGCGCGCTGAACCTGAGCTTGTGGGTCGATGGTCCTCTTCCTGTGACGGGCCAAGACCATCTGTTGTTGGGGCTGTTTCCCGCGTTTGACTATTATACCGGCTCGGTGCCGGGCCAAAGTCTCTGTTGTACGCCGGCCCTGATTCTGACCTTCTAGCAGCAATAGTGGTCCTTTCCAAAGGCTTTCTGTTCTTTGACGAATGTGCCCGTTGTGGAGCATCGGCGAACGAGTTGGGAAAGTATCTCAGCCACGCACGATTGCTCGCTTCCGCAATCTGACCCTGCGGTGATATTAAGCCATCAATAGATGGCGGATATCTCACCGATCGATTGCCAGCCGTGCTAGAAGCTCGAGCGGGACAGGACGAGAGGCGAAACGCTGCCGGATTTTGTTTGCTTGCCGCGCCTTCGTCTTTCGAGGAAGTTGGCGGGATGTGCCATGGCGCCGAGCTGTCATCAAGTAATGGCGAATCGAATTTCGTTGGGAGAGTCCCAATGTAATCGTAGGGTTGGCATGTCAAGCTGTTCGTGGGCTTGTGCGGCGGTAATGGAGGAGGACGGCGTCCCTGGGAGTTCAGATCTGAGCATCGAGATTTAGTAACCGAGCCAGCATCGGATTCGTACACCTGGGTCAAGGGTCGCAGAACGGTAACAACGCCCTTTGAATTCCTGAACGTCCTGATCGATTCTTTGCTTGGTGTCCCCATTTGCATGTCGTGAGTGAAGACAGGATACTGAGACCGTGTCTCCAACCCATACGGAGTTGCTTCAATCGGAATCGAGATGGCGATGTGTCTATGCCCTCCAGTGGTGACGCCTGCAACTGCCGAGTCTGGTAGTTGGATGTGTCGGGGTTGCTTGGGCATCGACCTACTCCTCCGTCCCATTTTCTTGATCTTGGACCACCTTCCGCGGCTATCCACCTCATCCTCGTATGGTACTGACATGAAGTTGTCAGGCGGCGGCGGATGATTCTTCAGAAAATCCACTAGAGCAGCCACGTCGTCTTTGGCTCGACGAGCACGAAGTTTCGCTCCAAACCACATTGTGTCATGCAAGTCGCCAGCGTAGAGGTTGCTGCTGACGCCATGTGACTGAAAGTCCGAGCAGGATCGATTCAACGTTTTGTCAGCACGGCGAGGCCCGTCCACGCCTGTATGGCTTCGGCGATGGAAGTTGGGTGCGTAGGGATCCAGAGGTGACAGAGAAACGTCGGCGTCATCTCCTGATGACGCCGTGAACCCCGTGCTGGATGAGGCCAGACGAGCCATATCCGCTACCTAATATAAGAGAAATGGCTCTTTCGTCAACAACACCAGTTCCCAGCTCTGGTGGCTTGCAGCCCTTGCATGCATGTAAGTGGGATTCCGTCAGTTCCGAGGCGCTCGACAAAAGAACAGCAGTGGCTAGAGTCGAACAACAAAACTTGCGACAGGTCTTTCGCTGGACGGTGCTCAAGACAGGCATCTGTGTTTTGCTGCAAGTCGTAGACCAAGGCCGTGTCTCACCAGGAGAAGCCTTCTTGACACAGGAGCAACTGAAAGGCTGGGTACGGATCGGCGAGAGGTCTCAATCCCAAGAATTTACCGACCACAGGCCAAGCAGTAGAAAAATTTTACAGGCAAGCACCAAGACTAGCCGTCAACCTGGGTAAAGAGAGGAGGCGTATGTCGTATTGCAAGGAATCAATTAAAAAGCAAAGCCTGGGCCAAGGAACGGAAACGAAGCAAAGGCTCTGGCGTACGGGCACGACGAACGGATATCGATCTTATAAAGCGGAGAGGAAGAAATTGTGGTGCATGATGATATGTCAGCTGACAACAGAGTCCCCAAGAGAAACTTGAAAGGATAAGACGGTAGATATGAGAGCAACTCTGGTGGCCCCCAAGCTGGCGAAGAAGAGCCTTGGCTTTTCGAATCCTTGTTGAGACGCCGGGGAACTTGCTCTCGCAACTGTTGACTCTGTTCATGATTTACAGCAGCAGTGCAAGCTAACAACGCAGGTAGTATCCAGCAGGGTGTTAGACGCGACTGGGGTCCCTTGGGCCGTCCAAAAGCAAGCGATTGGACGGTAGTCATGTTGGCCGTGAAACAGAGCCGTCGTTGGCCTTTGCCTCCTATGCTTTGTTAGGCGTTCGCATCTTGCGACGGTCTTGATTAAATTTTCCCAGGCCGGGGGGCTGGTTGGTGGCCTCATGAACAGACAGACACGGTGCTATTCGTGGTATTGTTGGAGCAGAGCGTTGTGTCTTTCTGTCTTTGTTGTCAGTCTGTCCCTTTCTCTCCCTCCTCTCGCTCTCTCTCTCCTCCTCTGATAGCAATACATACAGAGCAGTACGCAGTGCTTGGAGCGTAGTGCTGGCACCCTTGGCCGGGTGGGCAATACAATCTTGTATTCTTTGGAGATGCCGTATCCTTGTCGTCCTTCCTAGTTAGTTGAGCTCTGACCCCGCGCATGTCTGGCCCAATGGCAAACGGAAACTCTCCCCGTTGAATTGGAATTTTTGCCCAGAAAAACAAAGGCCCTAGCTAGCGGGGTGGGGGTTGACGAAGCCGCAGCTCTTCCTAGCCCTAGCCCATGGACCATGCCATGGCAGGGGATTGAATGACAGGGACAGGGTCACAGTATGGATGACGATCGGGCGAGGCTGACCGTTGTCGCGGTGCCGCAGGGAGCGCTAATTAGCTACTCCGTAGCTCTGCCAATGCCATCACACGGCCGAGTCCAAGCCCTACTGGGGTGCGCGCGACAACAATCACGCTTACCGCTTGCTGTTGTCGGTGAACGGAAGCTGGCTTATCAAAGAGATCAGGTCCGAAGAAAACGTCGACTAGGAGCGCTGCTGACAACGGATTCCGAGATGTTATCTGGGAGGAGGGGCGACGAGTTGATATGCAACTGCCACCAGGCATTAGCGGTGGTTATTCGCGTGTTTGTCCTCGCCGTCCACTTTCCAGTGCTCAAAGCTCCGATGCTATCCATTATTATTATTAAATGGATATCCATACCCTTGTCCCAGCCAATGCGTACACTATACGTACATACTACTGATGACTGCGGTGGTTTCGCCAAGATGGCCGGGCTTCTTGTTGAAATGGGCACCACCGGAAAAAAAGAAACGGCCTTGGTCGGGGTTTTCTCACATGGCAAACCAGCCAACCCAACGAAAAGGGGATCTCAGTTCTGCACCCCTCAATAGCGAGGAGAAGGAACTGTCGCTGGGCCGTACGGAATCTGGAGCACATCTAGGTCAACTGATGGCAGACGGGTAGAAAGCAGTGGAGAAGCAAGCCTGCCGAGCCGAGGTGCGAGAGAGCCAGCAGGCAGAATGCATGATGCTGCAATGCGGGTAATAGTGCACATGCGTACGGAGTACACTGCATGGAGTAGTGCGGATATGGAGGCCCGTCACAATGTGGCTCCACTCCCGCTCCATTTTGGGTCGGCAGCCACGACCGACAGAACCGCCAGCCACCTGCCATGAATAAGTTATTCAATATTCATCACCGTGCAGTGCAGCCTTGCGTCGGTCTCCCGACCTCCATCTCTGTATCAATTCTGGGGTACGGAGTACTCCGTTTGAAAATCCCGCGTCCCGCACATGCCCATAGTTGCACCGTCCAAAGTCACCTTGGATAGGTGCGTCCACACACGCACGCACAAAAGACGCGGGGTGCACATGTACGTGCCGTGCACGGAGTACGGATAACGGACTACCGACTACCGACCAAGGTGCTCGCTCCGTACCCGAGGTAGCATTGCGAAGTGCCGACCACAAGACTACGACAGACAAGGACATGGCGTCACATGCATATGCACAACAGACGCATCCCATCGCATCTGAGATCAACAATCAGCCAGGGCCCCGGGCTTTCTTGCAGCCACCAACTTGCCCAAGTTGACAGGCAAACGCCATCGGCATCACCACCTTGCCAGGGAAAAGACGAGCAGAGCAAGTCGCCCGCGCAGAAGGATCTCCTTCCGTCACCGTCGTCGACGTGGCTCCTCTACCTGGCCGCCGACGACAAACGGTGACCACCGTTGTACGTACGGCCCTTCTCGCTCGGCGGAAACAATCTCGCCGTGTTTCAAGTTCCCGTAGAGGCCCCAAGACTGGCTGGCTGGCCAAACTCACTGACTGGCCTGGCCTGGCCTCTGTCCGTGTCTCTGGCTGTGACTGAGAGCCTGGAGGTGCCCATTTGGGTGAGACACGGATGCGGCTGTAGTCGGCTGAGACATTTCAACGCTCCTTCTTGCGGCGGGCACTTGGAAAGGGCACCGAATGTTACTTTTTACCGCGACGACCGAGGACAAGCACACGCATTTATTTCCGTTGTCTCTCGTGCAACTGCGTATAGCAGCGCAGCAACTGCTTCTCCTTGTACGAACGGCCACGTCAGCTAGACTTGAGCTCTTCACTCTCCTCCGTCCCCAGCATATACCTCTATTCAATGCCTGAAGAGCCTGTCGAACCTCTGCGTGCCGGCCGATTGGAATCTAGCACTGAATCGTTGCACCATCTGTGCAACTGGAGTGGCATCTAGAGGGGAAAACAAAACGCCTGTACAATGCTCCCCCGCCCATTTACAGTATGCGCCTTCGCAATGCCAATGTGTCATTCTACTTCGGTTCAAGGAAAGCAAAAGTTTCGAAATCACCGCTTTTTCGGCACAAATAAACTTGGTTTCGCCTTCTTCCGAGGCGCCGTTGGCACGGGCTTATTCATCACCTGGTTTGCATTCGTGAGCTCCCCTTCCAAGACATCAGTGACATGCGTCTCAAACACACCTTTGTACCAGCCACGGAGCCACTAGGTTGACCCGATTTCGACATCGACCCATTCGACGCCTGAATCGGAGGAGTCGTCGAGTTCGTCACCGAAGGAGGGGGTCGTTCCGGAGGTACCATCCCGAGGACTGACATTGCCGAAGGGTCTTTGGGTGCCGGAGGCGGCTTCGTCTGTTTGATATGGTTTTGTCCGAATTTGCCCATCAGGCCACCTCGCTGCGTGCTCGCAATCTGTTGTCTCATTAGAAATCCGTGCTTGGTTGCTAGTGCCTTGTGCCGCCACGGATGGGCCACCTACTACTCTCTTTGCTGCGTGCTGTCCAGAGTCTGACCCGTCCAGCGGTCGCTTCTTTTGCTCAGAGGCTTGGTTCTCTGACGTGTGTATTACAGGTAGACCCGCTCCGCGTGGAACAACTTTGGGTATACTGCTGTCAGAGGTCTTCCAAGATGGGCTTCCATTGCTCGGGGCCGGGGAGCCAGCAGAGGATGTTGATTTGATATTTTCTACACCGTCCGCTATGACATTTGCTGCCGGGGCGTCGAGCATCTCGATATCTTTGGGAGACCCCATTTGAGACGCTTGGTAGGCGGGCGGACTGGCTCTTTTCAAAGGCCGTCTGAACATGCGCAGTATATCGCCCTTTGTGTATCGGTCTCTGGCCTTGGCATCTTCGATCAGTTTCTTCCAGAACTCACCCTGTACCAGTGCTCGGGAGTCTCCCAGGATCCACAATGATGATTTGGCACGAGTCAACCCAACATTCATACGGCGAATGTCCGTCATAAAACCAATGCCGCCTGTAGAGCTGGCTCGTACGCAGGAGAATATGATAATTTCACATTCTCGACCCTGAAAGGCGTCTGTAGTGTTGAACTCAATAATATCGGTGATATTCTCTCCATATCGGCTTGTGAAGCGACTCCTCAGCTCAAACAGTTGAGCTTTGTAGGGGGTGATGATGCCAATCTTGCCTGTAAGATCACACTGCTTGTACTCCTTGCTGAAACGGTCATACATCTCCATGGCAACCTCCAGTTCTCTGGTGTTGACCAGTGATTGACCCTTTCTTCCTTTCTCTTGGACACCCTCCACATCGAAGAACCGATAAGGGCCAAGGAGAGCACTCTGGTGCCAAGGCTGCTGCCGAAGCTGCAGCATATCTTGCCCATCTTGGAGCTGTCCTTCGTAGAATTCCTTGCTGGGAAACATGCTAATCTTCGGGTGCATTCGATATTGCATATCGAGTAGATGGACTGACTTCGGATGGTTCTGCTGCATTCGAACGAACAAGCTCTGGTCGTAGCCAAAACGTGCTGCGGACTGAGACAAGACAGTTGGGGGAAGCTGCTTCGGGTCTCCTACAAGTATACATTTGCAGCACCCATACTTGAGTGGAATCAAGGCGCTAAGTTCAACACACTGAGCAGCTTCATCGATGATGACGGTTTCAAACTCGACATCCAAGTTGCGGAACATTTCATGCCCACTGCCGCTGAGTGTTGCACAAAGCACATGAGCAGAGTTGAGGATTTCCTGCTGCACTTGTCTGCGACGCATCTCCATCTCTCGAGCGAGGGAATTGCCGCTATCCTTGTTCGCGTCAATCTGTTTACCAATGTTCATTTGTTGCCGCTTGAGTTCGTCAAATTTGCGGGAAAGAATGTTTTGTGTGCTGCGATTGTCTTGTGCACGGGCCTCATCAAGGAGCTGTCTAATTTCCGCAAGCTCTTCCTTGATTTTTGCCGCGTCTTCGTGAAGTTTGTCTCTTTCAGCTTTGGCTTTGTCTTTGGTGTTGTCGCCTTCCAGTCGAGTTCGGACAAGCTCGTCAAGCGTGACATCCTTGACGGCAACGTTGATAGCATCGGTCCTGCCGAGACGAAGCACATTGATAGGCTTCGTTTTTCCGCTGCTAGTCTTGACGCCACTCTTTAAACGGAGAACTAATTCATCAACGGCCGCGTTACTGGGGGCGCAGACAAGAAGCTTTTTGGGCCGGCCTTGAGCAGCAGCTACCACACCAGCCAAGGGGCGAAATGGCGCACCCACAGGAACGCCGTTCGAGACTTGGGAAAGCTGTTCTGAGAGCAATGATCCAACCATTGCGGTGATGGTCTTGGTCTTGCCGGTTCCAGGCGGTCCTTGAATAAGGGTAAAGCCATCGTTGTCTTGAGCCCCGAGGACCGCCACTGCCTGACCATGGTTTAGGGTCCAATTTTGCATGGCGTTGGAGATCTTTTCCTCCCCATATCGAAGAATTGGTGACGGTTCAGCTTTCAAGATTTCGTCCATGAGATCGTAGTACTGTAGGCTTTCCAGCGCGGCGTATTCTCGTTCGATGGTAGTCATATTCGTTATCTTGACGCCGTGCACAGTGGCACCGGGCATTAATACGGTCGACAGCTGGTTGTTACGTGATGCGACACGGTATGTGATTTCGACAAGATCCTTCTTGTACGTAATTCGGTGAACCCTAGCTAGACAGTGTTTTGAGGTAGGACTTTGGAGAGGGCTCTCCGCCTCGGAGACCAAGAGTATATCTCCTTCAGAGACCCCTCTTTCACGATTTTGAACAACAGGTAAAGTAAAGGCAACCTCCAAATAGCTGTCAACGTTTGCTCTGCTTGCGAGTTTCATGCCGAAAGACTGAGCCGTTATCTCATCCTTTGCAGTCACAAAAGAACGCCAGGCTTCGGAAGCAAGCAAAGGAAAGAACGTTGCCTGATACGACCGCGGATCGGGATACTTGGTAGCAACTTCGGAAGCAGCTGGACCATTAGGAGGGTCGCTGCCTTGGTGAAAAATGTCCCATGCTAAAATAGTGTTGTGAAGTCTATCCATAGGAGGTATCAAGCGAGCTCTCATTTCCTTCACTGAACGCTGCTGACGGATTTTCTTGACCGGCCTGCGGAGTCGGTCTCGGAGGGCCTGCTGCCGACGTTTTTCATGTTCGTCAAGACCTTTCTGACCACCAGTGCTCAACGTTGCAAGTTGCTCGTCTGAGTCAGAATCCGCGCCGTCATCGTCTGATTCCTCATCGGAGCTGTTGACCATGATTTCACTCCTCGCGTTGCCTTTGCCTGGCACTTCAAGACTCTGGGTTCCAGATCCTTCCCCTGAGACGGTTTCTCCCCGAATCTTCTTGGCTCTCGCGATAGCTTCAGCATCTCTCTTGGCTTTCTCGGCCTTTTCTCTCTGTCTGCTTTCCTTCAATGCCGAAATGGCCTTCATGTCAGGGCCTTTGGCCTTAGCCCTTGCCTGCTGCGCCGCAAGCTGCTTGAGAATCGGACTATCCGCAGATTTACTAATTTCCAGAACGTCATCTCTATTGGACCTCCCGGTCTTATCAGAAGGAATTCCAGGCGGCGCAGACTTGGACCAAGCATCCAGTTTGCTTTGCTTCTTGGACTTCTCCATGCGTACAGAAGCTGTCCGATCCGAAACACTCGTTGCTGTTCCAATTTGGATTATTTGAACTTCTTCATCATGACCGAGGGCCTGAAGCAATTCGGCTCGTTGTTGGTCTGTTAAGTTCGTTGTTCGGAGATATTTCCCGTTAGTTCCGGTGGGAACGCAAGCGTCTGTTATGAGCATTCGCGACCCGGCATTGATTTCCAATTCATTTTCCCGAAGTCTGGTCAAAATCTTGCAGAGGACCCGAACCGTAACGTCAACCAACCACCTATCTTTCAGGCGAATCATGTTCTCCATTCCCCGAAAGTTCTCCTTCGCCGGCCCAAGAATGATTGGCATCACTTCTTGTTCAGTCTTGCCTAAAGTAGTAGCAGAAGTGAGAAGACCGTCTTCCGCGATAAGAGCTTCGGCTAGTTCCATGATTTCCCGACAGAACTCGGTCATAATCGCATTTGGAACTAAATGTGACCAGGATTCTATGTTGAGACAAGACTTTGAAACAAATCGCCACTGCTCGTTCCACCAGCGCAGCACTATAGCGACAGACTTTGAATTGAGAGTCTTTGTTCTGAGGACACCCGAAGTCGGGTCGGACAATCCTCTGAGAACATCCCTGCTCATATTGAGCAGAGGGCGGATAGGGCCCCAAGGAAATGGCGGTTTGAGGATTCTCTCCAGCGTCCAAACGATGGATGATAGAGTTTGTTCCGGATGGAGCTGAGACATGTGCTCTATGGCGCCACTTCGTGATAACTCACCGGTCCAGCTCTTGAGAATTTCGGCTGAGCCTTCGGCCAAGTTAGAATCGTCGTGGACGGACAGCCCTACAATAACCTGGAATGGCAACCGGTCTGCAAAAAGAAGATTCAAATCGGTGGCATCCACCTCGGATATTCGACCCAGAATCCTCGCTAGCACGTCGGCAATGCTACTGAGTGATGTGTTGAATCGTTGGCCAGACTCATCTAGTTTGTTGATGGTTTTGCGTGGTCGTATCTGTTCGACTGAGATGAGAGGACCAAGGGACACCAAGACAGACTTTGCCAAGGCCACTTGATCTCCGGAGGAGTCGAATATTTCCACAACGCCTTCCCAGAAAGCCTTTGAATCTCGGACAATTGTTGATTGGAGCTGCTTTCTGTTGTGAATAGCCTGGAACTCCTCCAAGAACATCTTCATGTCCAATTTCATAGCGGCGTTTAAGACTGACATGGCGGCGTCGGAGACCCTGAAAGTCGTCCAACCCTCTTGTGAATCTGGTGGTGGCCGCAGGCTCCCCAGTATGAGGTCCTTGTTCTTTACGACGAGATCGAAGGCGCAACCCGCGTATAGATGAGTTGTGCCAGATGCAGTCTGTGTACTGGGATCTAGGAAGGACTTTAGGGTAAAATTGATGGCATCAAAGCCAGCACGTATACATGCTGCTTGACCCGGTTCTCCGATGAATGGATCCTTTGCCAAAGTCGCAAATAGAGTGTGCATTAGAACCTCGCAAGCATCATATCTACGGTCACGACTCAAAGACATGAGCCAAGGTTGAATCCAGGATGTAGGAAAAGGTACAACATCTGAATCCATGCTGAAGCCAGTCCAGCAGTCGTCGAGAGATTGGCGAAGCAGAGTTTTGTAAACGGGACTAGCAAAGAGCAGGTCGGCAATTACGTTTGGCCTGGCATCACCGATTACATCCCAAAAGGCTTTGGGATAGTCTTTTAAGAAGATTGTTAGTACTCGAATCGTCACAACTAGCATGCCTTCCGAGGTGCAGGTCTGGATATGACGAAATAGCAAGTCGTAAATGCTTGAGCCCTGGCGCAATTCCAGACTTCGGAGACGGCTGTGAATCAGGTTTTCCGGCAGCTTAGTCAAAACGATTTCGAATCCTTCCCAGAAACGCTCAATAGCCAGGCGTTCTTCACTCGAGAGCTGAGGGGTAACTTGGATCCTGGCAATGTCATCTATCGCACTGGTCAACCCATTGCTCACGGCCCAGTCAAACTGGGCCTCCGTCATTGCTTTCGAGTCGATGGATTTCCAGTTCTCTTTTGCCCAATCTCGACGGGACTCATTCTTTTGATCAAATAAGAAGTATGTCATGCCAGGGAGTGGATCGCTCCGCCCCAGCTTGAGATAGCTCTTCCCTTGCAACCGCAGGAAGACGTACTGAAAAACTGCGCGTTGTTCAGGGCTTGACATGAACGGCATGCAGCAGAGGGTCTCATAAACTGCAATGAGTACTTCGGGTAGCTTCTCTCCTAACTGCGTTTTTTTGAAAACATCGCCCCTTGATTCGATTTTGGCGATGTATTCTTTGGCCCATTCAAGATGGCAACTAATTCTGGCGATATCGACTCGATTCAACATCTGTTCAATGTGTTCGATGACTTGTTCGTTCCATTTTCTGTTCTTGTCAGAAGGTCCCTTGTTCTATGCAAATCAAGTAGTGGAAAATCAGCAACGCACTCGGAAAACTTTTGGAGATGGAGCTGGCGTTGCATATGCCAATTGAGGACGCATTCGGAGCAACTCCTCAGTCCATCCTCAAGCCTATCTTTGAACTCCTCAGCCCATTTGCCCGCCTCGCTTTTATCAAATCCAAAGATCAAGCTGTTCCAGTACGTGATTTCGACGCGGTGACGGCCATCTTGGATACGCTGCTTTTTATTCTCCACGGTGATCTGGGATTCCGGGTCGTCAAAGGTTTTGTAGTTCTCGCGATCGTCGGAGTTGATTTTCGGGCAGAGTAGATGGCAGTCATGGGGGAGTTTCTGGAGTTCCTCGTACCACTTTGCCAGCTCCTCGTTAAGATCCGACATGTTGGCGTTGGGATCTCGTGCCCATGCCCCAGCATCTGCCAAGCGAGGGCAGGACCGCTAGGAACTTATCCAGGCTCGTATGCAGAACTTGGCGCTCTAGAGGCACGCTTTCGCTGTATTCAGGTGGCCTGCCTCGTCTTTCTTCTATAGAGCCGAGACTCAAAGATAGACCCGGCAAGGTCGGAGTTGTGGCAGGTGGAAAGGGTAAACGATCGTAGAAATCGAAATTAATTCAGGCGGGAAACCTGCCAGCTTCCGGTCCCATGCAGCTCTATCAATATGCAACACTTCTGCCGCGCCATAAATGCAGCCCAAGAACCTTTGTTTGGGAGTTGATAGAAGAGCCACGCGGGTGATGCCTGGAAGTTGAGGCGCCGACTTTGGAGAAGATACTTCGAAGCAGGTTGATGGCGGCAGGAACTGCTTGCCCTGCCTGTATGTGGTGAGTTGGTTGAGGGCGTGGCGCGTTGTGAGGCTGGTCCGTGCAGGCTGGTCCGTGCACGCCGGACTTGACTGACTCCCAATCTTCTTCAACCTCATCGCTCGTCATTGCTCAACATCACACAACCACGCCGCTCAGGACAAAGCAGGCTCCATCAACTGTTGGACATTTTGAATGCTTAACCGGCGGCTCTCGCACACTAGGTATTTCGCGTATTGTCAGTACATCTGTGTTTGAGCAGCGCCTCCATATTGCCCTCAATGCGCTCTCAGTATCACTACTCTATCGCATATAATCAGTCACCATGAGAAAATGGCGCCAGGAGAGTTACCTGCTCAAGAGGGTGCTTTCCCTCATTTATTCTTCGGCCCTCGGGCGATTGAATGAATATTCTCAGCAAATCCTGTGCACCTAGGCTTGCGAATTCTACAGACTACTACTCGCTGGCCTCGACAGAGCCTTGGCAACGTGCAGACTTTTAACTAGGGTCACTGCTACGAACCTTCTTCAACCAGTGCCAACAATGTCTTGAACCAAATATGGCATTTACCTCGGTGGTTGGATGGGGATGTTCAAGCGGCAGTTTGCACAGCGTCATCATGTCCAACATGGCTCGTCTCACCAATTATCCCGAGCCGCGGCGGCATCGTCGTATCTTCCATCCTAATAGTCAACGCATAATGAACCAAAAGTGACAATCTTCTCAAAGGGAGCATTCAATAATGCCTGACTGTGCAAATGGCAAGCAGCGAGCAGCAAACAGCTCTTACCACAAGCAATGAGATGGATTGGTAGTTGTTTTACATTCTTGCATCTCTCATCTCTCAATTATTACTGACCGAGGCTGCATGCATGTCCACTCTGTGACACGAGATGATCTGGCTCAACATCGACATTCTGCCATCTGTCTCCATTTGCTATTCTCATGCCCATTCAAGTCAAGTTTCTGAGCTCGTTTTCAGACCTACAGTTCAACTGAGGGATTGATGGCTCCTCCGGAAAGCCGCCTCTTTGACAAACCACACGACTTCCTCCCCTTTCAGCACAGGCCAGCTGTGCTTCGATAGTCATCAGGTTGTCCCCGACACAGTCCCTAGATTCCAGGATGGTGATGGCAACTCTTTCGGTAGTCTGTCTTGAAGAAGGTTGTCAGCGTGCCAGAAGCGCCAGCGTGGCTTCATCACATACGCTTGCTCTCGAGGACGATGAACCAGACCGCAGTAGCGATGCCCACATCATAGATTGGATCAGCAAGGTCGGAAGTATCACACAAACGCAGACATCTAGCCGTGCAGGAAACCAGCGTCAAACCAATTCTCTCTCGCAGCAAACCATTCAGATTGGGGATGTGATCGAAGTCAAAAATGCCATGATTGGTGATTACCGAGCAGACTTCATCCAAGTGATGCAGATTTCCATGGATACACCATCTGAGCGAAATTTCCGAGGTGTTCCTTTTACGAGAACACGAAATGTTTTCGGCTGGCTTCCCAAGAAGCTCAATGAAGTTTGCATGATGCTGCATTTTCAGCAACAAAACGGACCCGCCCCCGACGAGTCTGCACGATTGATTGATGTAAAAGAAGACCAAATTGTGAGGCGACGACACCTCATTATTACAAACGCAATGTTCCCAGAACATTCTGCGTTACAGGACATGCGATTCCGTCAGTCCATCAGAGGCGGAACCAGGGCGCTTAGGCGCCACATTGAACAGTCAGGCAATTTGATCTGTCGGTGGAAATGGATGGTATATTTCGGTGACGGCTCGGCTCCAAGAACTCTGGAACAAGTTTTTGAACGGATATCGGCTCAAGAAGTTTTGGACCGCCAATATCTTGTTTACGAAGAGATACTCTGTAATAGATGGAGGGGCGGCCTCACCAGAGGAGGTTCTTGGATTCCGGGCCAAGACTACGCCGCTCGGGGCATTGATATCACCGATACTTCGGGAACGCGGGCTAGAAAAACTCGAGTAAAAAACCAGAAATATACGTTATTTGATGCCTTTTCGGGCGCTGGGGGAGTCTCAAGGGGGGCTCAGAATGCGGGATTCAAGGTTATCCATGCGGTCGACAAATCACCAGATGTGTGGCAAACATATTCTCTAAATTTCCCCGAGACAGAGCTTCACAAACTAGCCATCGACGAATTCATCACCAAAACCGATGACACGTCCATTCGACCAGATGTGCTTCACATGTCTCCGCCATGTCAGTACTTCTCCCCAGCGCACACGCGACCTTGCAGCCGAGACGACGACAACAAGTTGGCGCAGTTAAGCAGCTCTGCGCTCGTGAAGAGGTTGCGCCCGAGACTCATCACTATGGAGCAGACTTTTGGACTAACTCATGATCGACATCAACCGCACTTCCGGACGCTCATTGGAGACCTGACGCAGCTTGGGTACTCTGTTCGATGGAAGGTTGTGGCATTGTGCACCTGGGGTTTGGCCCAAACACGCAGGAGACTTGTGATCATTGCCGCAGGACCAGGAGAGCAGTTACCAGGCTTTCCTCCGGCGACGCATTCTAAAACCGGAGGAAACGGGCTGCGTCCGTACACCACAATTCGGCAAGTTCTCAACACAATTCAGGTGGGCGACAATCTGCACAACCTTGCAGCCGCCGCCCGGTTCCCCACAAGGAGACCCCGTCTAAACTTCGACAGTTTGCTAGGAACCATACGAGCTAGCTACGCGGATTTCTACTATCCGGACGGAACACGAAACTTTACTCTAAGAGAGTATGCCTCGTTGCAAGGGTTCCCAAAGGCCCATAAATTCCGTGGAACTGCCGTCGCCGTGAAAAGACAGATAGGCAACGCCTTTCCTCCAAGCTGCGTCAAGCTCCTGTATAAGCATTTGGAAAGTTGGCTGCTGCAACAGGACCGTGTCGAGCCGCATCAACCCGAGACGAGTGATGTGATAATGATTGACGCAGAAATGCCAGATTTTGGCATCAGTGATTCAGACTCGCCGAGCATCATGGACCATATCATTGACCTGACCAGGGAAGACGCATCTGGAGCCCAGACCAGTATTATTACGTCCTCGCCATCACCACGTCCGGGGGGGGGGAGGCTCCGGATCGACTTCCCACAAGGCCGGTTTAAGGTGCCCAGGACCTGAGTAGCCCAGTTATGCCTCTGTTTTTCTTCGAGTACTGAAGACCGAGGGCTGTAATGCATATTCTAGGGTAGTAATGCGCTTCTTTCCGATGGCTGAAGTGCACGCGATGCGAGGAACGCAGCTGCAGCAGATGTCTGTACAACAGCGGCACTTCCCTTTTCTATCGTCATCTGGTTGCATAATGCTCCACAGCCTGAATTCAATAATGCCCAAGCTCACTGCAGCTCTATGGTGTATCTGTTTGGAATGGCAGTGGCCAGCTCAATGGACACAGCATCACAGTCTTGCCTTATTTGCCGCAAGATAGACACGTTACCATTCATGTCGAAATGCGAGCTACTATATATATATATCGAATGATGGCTGGGCTACCGGTCACAACTGCATCTCTTTTAAGGTTGCTCGCAGAGTTTGTGAGTCCGGCTTTTGCATGTTCCACTGGCAATAACTCGTTTATTGGTGACGGCCCTGGACAAGCATAGGCTAGGCTAGACATGCATGATGTTGATCTTGGTATTGAGATGAGACTTGACTGGCAGTCGCAAATGGTTTAAACCTTCGAAGGCAACGAAACCACGGCATGAACGCCCGAGGAACCGGCCTTGAATCTCCTGGACTGGATTAGAAAAAAACGGGGTTTGTTGTTGTAAACAACGACGCCATCTTGATACGGGATTTTGTCTTTCCGTTCTTCTTCGCTTCACTGGTTCTTTAAAAACAAAGAGTGTCGTTCTCAGTCTGTCGTTTTCCGCGCATGGGTGATTCTGTGTATGTAGATGCTGTTGACAAGGTAGAAATTGACTTCAAATAAATACAGCAGATACTCGATAATCTGCCGATAACATTGAACGAATGAGTCTGCTCGAGAAAACCTGTTCGGGAGTGGGCCGGGCGCGACGCCGGCACTACTCCGTCATCAATTAATCGGCAACCCCCATCACAAGCTTCCGACGCGGAACGGAGTACTAGTTAGAGCCACGACGAATCGAGAACACTCGCCTATATGTAAGCCACTATCAGCCAAATGGTCCCCAGGAATCGGTCAGCCACAGCCCATGTGCCCTTGTAAGCCCAGTTCCGAGGTCCTGGTCGGAGAATGGTGGGTTATGCTTGGCAGCGTGGACACGGCATCAAGTCATGCCAGGCATGCCAAGCCGTGTCTGGATTTTCGTGTTTCTGACTGGTCATGAGACAAGATAGCATGACTAGGGGAGAAGGCCGCGGCTGAGAGAATCGTATTGCCAGCATTGATATCGGAACTACTCCGTATTGTCGGCTGGATTCACGGAAATCAAGAGCAAAAGCAGAGTCCGGTAGTGTGAGCCAGCGGCTGGTGGGCCTCGATGGTAGGGGACGCGGGTTCGCGTTTCATCACAGCCATGTATCTGACAACGGACGTGGCTTTTGAATCTTTCAGGCGCATGCAAGTCCGGTTGGTCTCGATGGCGCGTGGGATTATCCCACTCGAGTCCGTCCGTCCACTGCCACCTAGGTTGATCGTCGAGGAGTCAACAAATATGCACCGGGTCAAACCTATAGTCGCGGGGACAAACTTGCCCCCTTCAGAATCACAAGCAGCCATTGGCATAGCCGGCTTGCTGCTAGGTTGTATGTAGTAACTATGTATATCCGTGTACGGAGCGCAAGTAGGCTCGTAGCACGAGCCCGAGTATTCTGTAAAGCGCAAGGACGCCCACGCGGCTGGGACCACGAACCGATCGACCGACTGGGGCGGAGAGCCGTTCTTGGTGACGTGGTTGAACGATCTTGATGTCAGAACGGAGTAGTCCTTTCTTCTTGGTACGGAACTTTTTGAAGTCTTGAACATTGAGCGCGAGAACTGACCGGATGAGTCTAAGGCTGCAATTAAAGAGCATGCCGCGCCACCTCCTTCCTGCCTGCGGAAAATAGCCACTAGTCAATCATGCCAGCCAGCCAGTTTATGGCGCAGTGAAAGTCCGGGATGAGGGCTGGCCCATATTGGTGCAGCCGCGTGGTGGCAGCTGAAGCTGCTGTGTCACAAGACAAATTGATTGTCCAATACGGAGTACGGAGAACACACGGTTCTATATATGACAGGACAACAAAGGACTCCTTGCAAGTAGCATCGCCTGCGGTCCGGATGCGGGTCGATCCTTAAAGCAAGACTTACATCTCAGATGCAACGCAGTAATATGCACGAACGTGCCGCAAATGCAGCACACATGGTTGTAGTGGCTGCAAAGCGATGAGACTGTCAAGTTGCCGTGGGTAGCACTTGTTCCAAACGGTCAAGCATCTTCCCCTCGCCAACCAATATTCGTGGCATATTCACCAGTGGCACTCCGTACGTTGGGAGTCGTTCTCAACGACCACCTTGTCGCGAGTTTAGACGTCGACAACCAAGCGGCTGCCCGTTCACCGACCGAGTACGCCGTACTTGGACTTTTGAACACTCCGTGCCAGGCCAGGCCAACTGTAGACTAACACGAGGTCCGGTGTCGGGCTGGGGCAAAGACCAATGGGGCAGAGCGGCGAGAACCCGGGCGTCTCCTGGCGGGTGAGCAAGGGGGCAGGGACGATTTGATGGGAGGCGCAACGCCACCAGCCACGTTGAAGGGTAGGCCGAATGCTAGAAGTTGGTGGCAATGGAGACGTGAGCGGCGTGGGTCAAAGCAGCCCATCATCATCATCGTCGTCGCTCCAAGGGTCCCACGTATCCACCCATCTATTGCGACGCCCAGGGACCGTCGTTGCACGGATATCCTCTGAATTCGCAGGGCCCGTCCACAACGGACGGCAATCTGGAACGGGGAGAAAAAGCATCTCTTTTGTGCCTGCCCCGAGTAATGACCATGGGTGGCTGCTGCTGCAACCTTGATTCAAACATGCAGGCCTGCTGTTGTACAAAGGACGTCAAATATTGCGGACCGCAGCAGTTCCCTGCCCATGAAGCCGAGACTCTCCTCTCCAGACAGAGTCCTCTCGAATAACCCCACCCGCCACCACGTGAGAAGCACATGCCAAAAGCCAGGATAATGCAATACTGTCGACCGTCGGAACTAGTGGCCAAGAACGACGCTGGCGCTCAGCTCTGTGAGTAGTGTGTGCTCCATCGGCTGCACATGGATAAAAAGCGGACGAACGAGTCCAAGCAAGCAATGAGGGGTACTGAAACGTATTGCGTGCTGTAGCCTCAGCCGGTAGGGCAGCTGGTGGTTCTGAAATTCAGTTGGCGCTCTCAAACAAGCCTTGATGGGGTTGCTGAAGTGCAAAGTTGCGAGGACATTGTTTGTGGTGTTGTGGTCGCCAATAGTTTGACGAGGCAGGTTGTGGTTGCAGCAATCAGGACTGGGGCTGGAAAGTGGAAAGGGAAAAGAGGGAGGGAGCGAGAGAGCGAAGAGAGAGAGAGAGAGAGAGAGATCGAGTGTGTGCGTATGTGAGAGTGTGTACGTGTTTGTATGTGAGCGTGTGTGTGTGTGTGTAGCATTCGGTGCGGAACATAAGAGTGGTGATTTCCCGTCGCACCACATCTCGCAGGCAAGCCTTATCCTCCTGTCGTCAGATACCCGTGGGAAGACATGTCAAAGAACCTGGCCTGCATCTTCACCGAGTGCGAGGGGAGGGATGGACCATTGTGGCCCTTCATAACACCTCTGATCTCTCTCTCTCGAAAAAAAAAAGAGGTGGTGGTGTTGATGATGCTGAAGATGCAACAATTGAGACACTAGCAGGGTTCAGGGTTGGCAGGCGAGGCGGACGTAACCAGATCGAGTAAGCCGGCCAGCGCCTTTGTCTGCATATAACAGCAGGAGGCTGGGTTGAGCGTGTTGGAAATTGTTGGAAAGGAGGCTATTTTTTTTTGGTGATGGACGTTGGATGGAATACTTTATGGTTGTTATTGTCATTGGACTCGAATGGCACCGCATTGAAAAAACCGTCGCTCGTGGGCTGTCTCGGGCTCGCTGACTGAGGTTCCGCAGGCGGAACATGGAATGCTCCTTCCCTCCTTCCGTCGGGAGCTTGCGTGTGCTGTGCGCACCGTTGGAGCATGTACGGAGCATTACGGAGTGGACTGGCATATTAAAAACTGTGCGGTGCCGTGGTCGATTTTCCACTGCGATACTATTCGCGCACGAGGACCACGGAAACACTGCATAGACGAAAATTTGCGCGTCGACGTTTTCCCGATGAAAGCAAAGAGTCGCCGTGGAACGCGGACGATTCAATTCTGCGCCCGTCTTCTGGGCCATGTACGGAGTAGACATGAATGCTTTCAAGGTATCACTACTCCGTACCGCCGAGTTGGTTGGTCGCGGCCTACCAACTGCGCCTGGGAAGCACTCCGTAATCAAATACCAAAGTACTTACCTACTTAGTACTATGTACTTGGTAATAAAAGCCCAGGTGTTGCCAAGTGGCCCCCAGCGCCTGGCTGGAGACCTCGGGACCCGCCGAGCGGCCGGACTTTCGGCGGATGGTGAGACAAATGCTCCGCACGCTGGGCCCAGGGCCTGGGTGGCCTGGGCGGCTCGAAGGTCAAGTCAACGTTGACTGGTGTGAGGCAGTCTTGTCTGGATGAAGTACTCTGTTTTTAGTAGTTTTTGTCAATCCACATGTGCGCTCCCGCTGTTGCTGCTGCTGCAGCTGATGGCCGTGATTTGTACATTCAAGTACGGAGTACCCGGGAAGTACTCAGGTACTTGCTATAACAACGTCGAAATACCGCCGCCAGGACAAAAGCTGTACAATAACTTACTCACGTAAGTAAAGCAAGGACCAAGGGCACGTAAGTCCTTGAGACTCAAGTAAGGAGCCTGCACGAGCTGAGTGCGCAGGTGAGCGACCGACAACTGACTGGCCGCCATTCCGGCTCTCTCCGTCATCGCTCTGGATTCTCCAGATGCCCCGGATGCCCCAGATGCCCCATAGACGTCCAGGTCCGCCCTCTGCGTCTGCAACCAGCGGTCCATGGTTCAATGCTGGGTGCTGCAGAACGGCGCCTCTACCGGAGGACAGCAGCCCCCCCTCCCCTCTCCCAGCTGGTAGTTACCGAGTACCGAGTACGGATGGACTACACGCGCCTCTCTCTTGGGTCTTTCTGTCGCTCCTGCCTGCCTGCACTCGTCTGTCCGCCTCCTCCCGCTCTCTCCTCTCGGCCTTGTAGTCTTTTTGCTTCACCCACCACTTCACCTCGTCCCATATACCCATCCGCCTCGCGACGTCCCCGGCCGCTCCTGGGCCTGTTGTCGCCATGGATCCCACCATGACAGAACACGACTTTCGATTTCCTCGCCGGCCCCATCATCCGGGCCGTGGTGGTGATGCCGACGAGCATGGAGGGCCCGGCCGCCAGCCCCTCGGCCTCGACGCTGCCAACTCGGAATTGATCCAGGCCGTTGCCATCGCCAACGACAAGTTGCTTGGTAGCGCCTTGTTTCCATCTCTCGACAATGCCGCCGCCGAAGACTCCCCGTCCATTGACCAGCTTCGCCGCGACGACCCGCTTGCCGCTCAGGTCTGGAAGTTCTTCACCAAGACGAAGCAGCATTTGCCGAACCAACAGCGCCTCGAGAACCTCACCTGGCGCATGATGGCTCTGAGCATGCGCAAGCAGAAGCAGGAGGATGAGGCCCGTCGGCAAACAGACCAACAGGCCCGGTATGTGGTTTTTCATATTTTATCCAGTCGCATGCATGTGAAACCGTGTTTGAATCCCCGCAACCGCCATTGTCCGTTCCTATTGCATCATCTTGGCCGGAGCACTTTGGCTAACAAAGAAGGGCTTTCTCATCTGCCCACCCCGGCTGTCTAGACTCAACCTCCCATCAGGAGCATCCCATAATGCGCCCAGTGGAATTGCTCAATTGCGAAAGTCTACAGAAATCAATGCCGCCGCCGGCGCGGACGCCATGAATCTCGACGATTTCATCTATTCGGAAAATGTCGCTACCCCTTCAGGCCTCATGTCCCCGCCGCCAGCTCCCAGGCGTGAAAGTGCATGTGCGCTATCGGCTTCAGGAATTCCCATCAAGACTCGCAAGCCGTCTTCCTCTTCCAACCACTTTGTCCCTCAGTCTGTACCCCATTACCAACGAACGGGTAACAATGAATTCAACTACGTCCAACGTCACCAACGCAAGACCAGCATTGATGAGCGTCGTGTGAGTGGCATCCCCCATTCTATTTTGCCAACTTTATATGCCTCAATGTCTCTGCCACATTGTAAAATCCCAAGTGTCTCATGTTGCAGTCCTTCCTTTTTTTTTTTTTTTTTTTTTGTTT